ATGCGAAACAGACAGCAACCTAATGTGCGCCTGGAGGCAAGTAGAAAGGGAAGGGAAGAGGGTAGAGAAGGGGGAAGAGAAAAGAAAAAGGCGTGTGGAGGGCATGTAATGAGCACGAGGTACAATGGGGTAAGACATGCATTGCACGGTGGGAGGACGGCAAATCAGCAGAGGGGGGGGGGGGGGGGGGGGGGTAGTTTGTCATGGCGCAAGATGGTGAGGAGGAGAGGGGACACATGGAGAGGGGGTGGACAATCGAGAGGGAGGACAGTGAGGGGCATGGTGGGAGGGGGACGGGGGGATGATTACAAGTAGCCACCCACCGAGGTATGCTCACGACGGGTATGCTCAAAGTGGGATCATGTACCGGATGATGGTATAGCATGACACACTCGCTACAGCTACACTCGTCCCAGGGACGCGGGCACTCACCGGAAGGCGCACGGTGCGGGTCTGCTCGGCGACGGAGCGGGTGATGGCCTGGCGGATCCACCAGTGCGCGTACGTGGAGAACTTAAAGCCCCGCTTGTGGTCGAAGCGCTCTATGCCCTTCATCAGCCCCATGCACCCCTCCTGTCGCGCGCAGCCACGGACATAGAGGGAAGCAGAAGCAAGGACAGACACGAACAAGCAGAGATTAGAGGCGTGCACAAAGGCGAGGACGTGTCAGGGAGTGGCCGTGCCTGTGCTCCCGCCAGGGAGTGGAAAGGAGCACGTAAATGGTGCTGACAATGGTGACGATGTGGGGGGGAAAGGCATGGGTGGGGAGGATGGAACGTTGGGGGGTGGGGGGGGGGGAAGGGGGCGGGGAGGGGGGGGGGGAAACCTCACAATCCACGTTTCAACCTTCACACGCGTTTTCCTTCCTCGATTTCCGCCTCTCTCCTAAACCACGCGGTATCTCTCTCGCTGTCATCCTCACCGCACGTTTTCGCATCCCAAACCATCTGATGGGGCTCACCGTGATGAGCTCTTGAAGCCCGACGCCCCGCCGGCAGTATTTCTTCGCGACGCTGATCACCAGCCGCATGTTGCTCGCCGTCACTAATCGCCTTCTAGGTGACATCTGATATGATTCGACTCAACACTCACCGTGATGAGCTCTTGCAAACCGACTCCCCCGCGGCAGTATTTCTTAGCGACGCTGATCACCAGCCGCATGTTGCTCGCCATCATCGCCTTCTTGCACTCGCGCCCGCGCGCCTCCCGCCGCCGCACCTCCGCCACCGACACCCCCGCCGCCTCCGCCCACTCCGCCATCGTCGGCGCGCGCCCCAGCGCCTTCTCCGCCGCGTCTCGCGCTCGCTCGAGCCGCAGCAGCTCCTGGACACCCTTGGAGTATTCTATTTCTTCAGCGGCTGTGAGGAGGCGCGAGTTACCACCCGCGGATTCGAACATGGCGAAGATCGGATCGTTCGACACTCGGCGAAACTCCTCCAGCGTCAGCTCCTTCTCTTCGCTGGCTTCGGGTAACTCTTTCGCCGGGGCTTTCGCTGATCGTTTCGCGGGTTTCGCGACGGAGCGGGAGGGAGTGAGTAGGAGGAGAGAGTCTAATGAGGAGTTGAGGGATGAAGACCGGTTGGCAGACCTCTTTAATCTCGCCTTCTCCCTCAGCTCCATGCGCATTCCTTTCCGCCTAGACTTAACTAAGGTGCGCACACTACGCGGCTTTAGTTGACCAGTTTCCTCGGTACTATCACCATCGCTGCTGTCCCCGCTTGCTTCCCTCTCGCTTAAGTCACCGTCGCTAAGAGCAGAGAGGGTGCTGTCGCCGCCCTGTCTCGGCGACGTTTCAGGCGACGCCAACGACCAATCGTCGGTCAGCATTGCGTTGCTCGTCCTCTCAGAAGCTACAGACGCTGAACGGGCCAATCTGGTGCTGCCACGTGGACTCGCCTCCCCTTCCTCCTCATCCCACCAGAACCCACGCGCCTGCTGTAGCAAGTCAACGCTTGTCAAGTCGCCTATTAAAGCGCTGCGAGCCGGTAGAAAGCTCCTGGTGGCGCTATCCAGCTGCGTGTTCCTGGAAGTTTCCAGCGGGGTCAGGAGAGGAACCGGAGTGCCTGCAGCCATCCACACGCTTCGTAGCTCCTCCTGCCCTAGCTCCTCCCCCACCTCGATACAATCACGCCAGCTGCTCCCGACCGTCGTCTCCGAAGAGGAATCTTTCGTTGTAGTCACCTGCCGCAACATGGCCCTCTCTATAGTCGCGAGCTGAGCTGCCTCTTTCGCAACGAGCGCGGCCGTCTGTGCGAGGTACAGCGCCTCGGCTGCAAGCGACTCCGTTCGCGCGTCAGACGTGGAAGCGAACCGCTGTGCGACTGCATTGCGCTGTGTGACGCCGTTGTGCGACATGCGAGAGTCCGTGAGCTCGCCGACGCAGCCGGAGGCGGCAGAGGCGGCGGAGGGCGCGGAGAGATGCGGATCGACGCGCCGAGGAGGGGAAGCATCGGTGCGACTGGATAAAGGGAAAACAAGGCAGGAAAAGGAGGCAGGGAAGAGGATGAATGCGAGAACTACGACTTTTGAGGCACCTCAACTAGGCATATGGGATGGAAGAATGTACGGACATATATGTGTAAACATAGAAGGAAAGAATATAGTATATGATTCTTATGCGGAATGTGCTAGGGTCCGGCACTCGAAGCCTCGACTGAACAGGAGCAAGCGGGTTAGAAACATCGAAAGGAGCTCGAGTAAGCATTTTATGGCCTACAATGCTCCGAATGCCTTTTAAGATCATGAAGCAGGATGTTCTGAACTCGACACGCAAGCGTTAAGCGACTTACTTGTAACTGGAAATAGCTGATGAGGGGCGAAGGAAGACCCGAGAAGGACTGGACGTGGAGTGAGGGATAGGAGACGACGACGACGACGAGCACACAACGTCTGCGAAAGGTGCGACGGATGGCTTGGCGACAGGAACGGCGACGTCGCCGAGAGGCCGTCGCACAAAAAAAACGGAGGTGGACGAGCCGACCGCCGGGCTGCTTCCTGCATGACGGGAGGAAACGAAACGACATAAGATATCATTCAGACCGAATGCTCTGCTCCGCGAAGCACAAAGCATTGACACGAGTGAGAGATATTTGACACCTGTAAGAGATGACGTAGGTTCGAAAACTTAATACTAGATGAGAGCTATTTATAAAATGTTTAACGCGTGAGCAGAGGGACTTAATAGGTTGCAAGAGTTCGCACCTGGCCTTTCTGGTGGCGACCTATCGACCAAAAAAGCCGCTCGGACAGAAGCAGCGGAGACGGCCATCCTCCCGACGGGGGATAGTCGGAAGGCACTACAAGCTCGTCCCGGTTGAGCGACCTTGTTAGCGTCGAGATAAGCAGGCTGGACAACTAAACAAGACGGCTTGTTCAAGGCAAGATAAGGAGGAATAAGTTCCGTCACACGAGCAGGTAGGTGCCTGCCTGCCTGCTGATGGGACGGAACGAGACTTCTGTGCCGCGTTGTACGTGCTTGAACGGGTTTTCCTTTCTGCGATCACTATTCAGCACTGCCTGATGTTGTTAGTCATGGCTCATGCAAGCAGCAAGCCGTTGGAGTTCGGTTTGGCTGGGGAGGGATGCGTGATTTGGGGAGATACAATGGGAAAGGGGGGAAGGGGGTGCGGGGAGGATGAGGGAAGAGAAGCAGAGGGTTTTGAAAAGATACGGAAGGATGGAGATATAAAACAAGGGCGCGAAAATGGGTGAAATTGTTGGAACAACTATTGGTGCGGGGACAGGAGGATATGGGCGAACGGCAGGAAATGTGTGCGGAGCAGTCGCGGGAATTGAGATCTTTTTGTGTGTTGTGCGATTGGTGACCGCGCTTCACTTGTGCTGGTCGCAGGGCAGGGAGAAACCCTCGTGTGCACGACAGGTGGAATTTACGTGGCAAGGCTCAAGGGACTGGATGACATGGCGGAGATGGATGTCACACCAACCGAACATTGCTGCCACTTTGGGCTGTCACCTCATTGAAAACGACTTTCGCGGTTCGAACTCACCTGATCCAGCCACACATCTGTCCACGCTACAAAAGGAAAGAAGTGGATATGCGAGTGGCTAACGATGATCTGGCACACTGCTTCCCATTCGAACAAAAAGACCTACCAACAGATCCAGGACTTGCGGAAAGCGGCATGCGGTTGAGGGTGGTTGGCGGGCATCGTCTGGAATACAGGTCAGCACAACCAGAAAGCCAGCGTGGAGTCTTGATGACATGGAAATCCCCGATACTTAACCGTTTACGAACAAGCGATATGAAATCTCGAGTGTACTTGTATTGAATATACATGAACTGCGCAGCACGTTAAGGCCGTGTCATATGAGTTCGTTTTTGCTGGAAACCTCAACCAAACGTATAGAAATGTAAACGAGCCGCCCTGACACGCACAACATCTTGCTATATCGTACGTAGTCTAGTGAATTTAAGTCACCTGTAAGGGCGGCTACCATAAAGTGCGTTTGCAGTTCTATGAACATTAATCCCGCGCCTAGAATAGCAGATTTTCATAAATACTGACCTTGAAGCCTTCCATTCTAGACTTAAGCTTCAACAAGCCAGGGAATATTCAGGCTGAACTCGAGAATGCTTTGAAGCTTACTCGGATTGTGCTGAACGAAAAGCATACGTACGGAACGGGAGCCACCCTAGGTCGCGGTTACATTTGTTGGTCTTGCAGGCGCACGCGTCCTCAGATGGTGACTAACTTTAGGTGAGGCTCATTCTGTAACGATGCTGGCAGAACGCTCAATAAACCGAGAGGTATTTTTCAGGTTTTGGCGAATAGACTAAGTAGAAACAGTGAAAAATCATTTGCTTACAACGGTAACGTTAAATTCCTCATGCTTACTGAAAATCTCATATGCCTTCCCTTCTTACAGCGGTGCCTTTAGCCGTTCGACAGGGGCCTGCAGGCCTTTCAGTGAGGGAAATAAAACTTTGAATTATCTTTGAATTATCCTAGTCTATATTTAAGTACAATGTACAAAACGTTTTACTGGCCGGGGGTGAAGTTGGTGGCATAGGCCCAGGCGTTGTTCACGGTGGGGTCAGCCAGGTGGTCGGACAGGTTCTCAAGGGGACCCTTGCCGGTCACGATGGCCTGGACGAAGAATCCGAACATCGACACCATGGCGAGGCGGCCGTTCTTCAGCTCCTTCACCTTCAGCTCCGCGAGAGCGTCGGGGTCGTCAGCCAGACCCAGGGGGTCGAAGGCACCGCCGGGGTACAGGGGGTCCTCCACCTCCTGGAAGCCCTCAAGGCCACCCACGCGGTAGCTCTCAACGGCGCCCATCAGAATCACCTGGCAAGCCCAGATGGCCAGGATGGACTGGGCGTGGATCAGGCTGGGGTTGCCGAGGTAGTCGAGGCCGCCCTCGGAGAAGATCTGGGCACCGGCCTTGAACCACACGGCCTCGCCGAACTCGACGCCGTTGTTGGCCAGCAGCTCGGGGGTCAGGCAGCCCAGGGCACCGAGAAGAGCCCAGCGGGCGTGGATCACCTCCAGCTCGCGGTTCTTGGCGAACGTCTCGGGGTCGGCGGACAGACCCGCGGTGTCCCACCCGTAGTCACCAGCATACTCGCCGGTGAGGTAGGAAGGGGGGGCGGAGAACGGGCCCAGGAAGAGAGGGCGGTCGGGGCCGTAGAAGGAGCTGGAGGGGGCGGCCTTGGCCGTCTTCCTCATGGAGACGCGGGCCTCCACATTGTTGACCTTGGCCGCGAGCTCAGCGCTCTGGCCAACGAAGGTGGAGGGAGCAACAGCAGCGTTGGCGAGGGCAGCCATTTCTGTCTGCTTGTAAATGAGCTGAAAGGAATGTGTGTGAAGGAGTACTGCTGAAACTTGTCCTCATTGATTCCCGAGTGTTTCTTTTGAATTGCTCGTTCGACAGTGGGAAGGGGAACCAGGCGGGGCGAGGAGAAGCGCAACCGCGAAAAGTCGTCGTTTGGTGGGAAACGCAATCGTCATGACGCTACGATTGGTTCAAAATCCTAACGAAGAGATTCTGGCATCTCCGCCAAGCAATTCGGATTGGTTTGCAAAATTTCCAAGGTGGTCGAAATCCTCCCAAAACAACGAATGGTCATTCGCTTCGAAAATCTCGAGGTATGATGCCATTGGTCTGGAGTAACTTGATGTGACATTCTAACGAAGATGACCTCGCTTGCTAAATTTCGGTTTCCCGTCAACGATAGTATTGACTACTTTACTGAACAGTCAGCATACTAAATATTTCCATGACTCCTGTTTATAAAAAAGCTTGTCTATCAAGTAACCTACCAACATGATACAAACGACTTTGCGGTTTTACGAAACTTGAATTCTGACATCTGGGCAACTGATTCACCGTGGGACGGGACATGAAGACCCATTTCAGGTTATTGTTGGTGATGTTTCACATTGCTAGATTCGGAGGATGTTGGCTTCGAGCGTTCATCTACACCAAGCATAGCAAGAGCCATAGATGCATTTTTTCCAGCCCTATCCAACGTTTTGCTGTCTCCGTCCAACTTCACAAATCACATCCATCTTACCGTGTCCAGCAATTGGCTCGCCTATGCACAAGCCTTTATGCAATGGGCCCTCCATGATGTGTATCGGTATGAGCCGATGGTATAATCGAATCCCGAAGCGTCTCCGCTTCTCCAACACATCCACTTGCCGCCCCTTCACAACATGTTGACTTCTCTGAACAAAGGATTCGTGCTTCAGAAGGTCTGCAGTGTTTCCTAAGGTTCCAAACTTATTGTAGCAACCAGAGGCAACAGATACGGTAAGATGGGGCAGAGGATGGGAGGTGGAAGGGGAGGGAGGACAGGAGGTGAGGGAGGAAAGCTTTGTCTGAAGCACAAGTTCCTGCTTTCCAATGAGCACTCGATGATGCCCATCTACGGCACCGTATCAGTGCATTGAATGTTCCTGGCTGGGCCTTGATCCATGAAATGGGATACGTCTTGGTGCTGGTCATTTGACCATAGTGCCACATTGCTGCTCAGATGCGTTGTGCAACTTCCGTTTCATGTCCTTTCCCAATCACACCAATGCCACCCATCGTAAGGAAGTCACGTACGGATCCTCTTACATGTACCACCTCAGATGCACTGACTTAGCCATGTGACACCAAGAATCTGCATTGTGCAGCCTCCCACGCATGAAAAGCCTGCTGTCGTACAGACCAACCCTCTTCCCTAAAGTTCAAACTGTAGTGTCGAATTATTCACTATACAGCTCCTCTGGTCGGGAAGCAATCGGTGTGTCAGAAGCGTAACTAGCACTACAAGATTCGCACCCAACACTACTAGTTTCTAACTCGTGAGACAAGCATTGGCACATTGTCACGAGCATGTCTCAAGTGCGCATAGTTCCAAAACACACCTACACTATCAGAAAACGAACGCTGCTGCGCCAGAAGCTAGTTACACTCCGGTCAAGTTTCACTCCGGTCAAAACGTTTCGTTTTCCAGCTTCGCCTTTGTTCGCAGCGAGCCAGCGGCGGGAGTGCGGCTCGCGCCGATAAGCGCCGTCTCGAGACTCGCCGCCTTTTCCGCCGCGAGAGCCATGGCTTCGAGCTGCTTCTGCTTCTTTGATCGCCGCCACCACCAGACGAGCAGAACAATTAAAGCGATGAATATCAATGCTCCTACCACGACCGCGATATATACAGCAGCGCTCGTGCCGCCGCCGCCGCTGCTGCTGCTGCTGCTGCTTCTGCTGCTGCTCGGGGTACTGGCGGTACTCGCGCTGCTCGCGGCGTTGGCGGAGCTGCTGCTGTTCGCGGGGACGGTTGTGTTGCGGCTGGCGGGGGGAGTTGTCGGCGCTGGAGGCGGGGAACGGGGCTTTTCAGGAGATGGGGGCGGAACCGAAGGGGGAGCGGTTGGCTCAGGTTCGGGCGCAGGTGTGGGCGCAGGTTCGGGCGCAGGTGTGGGCGCAGGCGTGGGCGCAGGTGTGGGCGGAGGTGTCGGCGGAAGGGGAACGGAGGGGCCTGACGCGAGCGTAAACTCCGCGAGTGTGGAACTCTTGCAGGTGATCGTTTTGGTGGCGGCGTTGGCAGTAGTGGTCAGGTACTTAGGCCCTCCAGCGGCACTGAACACCGCACATTGCGGCGGATACTTCGGATCCGTGATCGGGGTGGGGAACGTGACTACAATGGGCGACCCTGCCGGCGCCGTTACTTGTAAAGTCTTGCCGAAAGGGGCGTTCAGCGCTGCGACAGGAGGATACGCGACAATATCGAGGCCCGTGAAAAATGGCATGAACTCGATCCCGTCGTCGGCTGGCTTGAATGGTGCCGTGTCGTTCGGCAACGTGTTGTAGACCAGCGCGACCTGCTTTGCCGTGGTGTCGATTGCGAGGCCTGGCGGCAGGGCGAACTCGTGAAACTTGTAACCCTTCGCGACGAGGAACGCGCGGTCTAGGATGATCACTTGGGAGGTCATGTTGGAAAACGGGGTAGGCGGCAGCGCGGCGACTTTTCCCGGGAGGGTCTTTTGCAGTTGCTGCATGGCGAGTTGGTGTAAAACCCCCTCGTAAATTTTCAGCCGCGTTAATTCGATGTCGCTTAAAACGGGGATTGGTGTTATCGCGGCAGCGCTGGCTGCTTGGGCCCGGTATGGGCTAATGGAGGACATGAGGAGTAACGAGAGGACTACGGCAGCCATGGCTGGTCTCCTGGGGGAAGATGCTGCTTGGAACATTGCTGATGCGCTCCGGAGCTGTGTCGCAACGACTTTAGACTTGGAAAATCTTCGGCATACGAAAAGCGACCACAAGTTGTTGAGACCTAATTCGTGGGTTGGGGTTGGGAAGCAAGTGAGCTAAGGTGTATGGTGAAGGGAGAAAATGCTGGATGAACAGCAGGAATGGTGGAAATGCAAGGCAATTAGATGTGGGTGGAGGGGAAACAGAGTGCGGGAGAGGGCGATTTCTCGAAAAGGAGTGAGCACCGAATCGCGGGAGGGTCGAATGCACGAATGTTGATGGAAATGCCGAGCCGCTTTTGGTTAGGGCCCGCGAAGTCTGGTTTGGGGAGGCGGGAAATCGCAATCAAACTAGTGTTCCGCGATGTGCGGTACGTTGTTAGCCAAAAAGTGCAACTAGAAAAAGTAGGTTTCCTTCAATGGCCGTTCTCTCAAGCACCGCCACAAAAGTTTACAGATATCTCGGTTCTATTGGAGGTACAGTGAATATTCATGACTCCTGTATACAGGAGGCCATATAGGCATGATTAACAACGATAACATTGCTTATTAATACGTGAACACAAGCAAAAATGTGCACAGTCAACCCTTGAGGCGTTCAGCTGTTGTCCGCATTGGCTTTCGTACCAAACGCCATCTCATCAAGGCTCTGGCCCTGACGCTTGTACTTCCCTCCAGCTTCAACAAACGCGGGACACGGCCGATACACTTTTACTGGAAACCACTCAAAGCCCGGGAGTGCACCAACGCCGCCCTGAAAGGCAACAGGTTACGGATACAACAGAAACAGCATGACACAAACAAGGCATAAAGATATGCCAAAGCTTTTTTTCCATCATATGGCATCAATGAGCAGTGTCACAAATAACATGATTTGAGGGGTTTAGAGACTTAGGCATGAGATTTATGCCTGTCGCCAAGGGCACGACAAGAAGCGACACTAGGATCGGAGGAGGCAGGCACAGTCCTCACCTGAATACGACCTTCCCCATTGCAACCCCCCACCCTCTCTGTCCTGCCACACGCCTTGCACACGTCTCCAGAGACCCTGCTCTCACTGCTACCTGCAGTTTCAGTTGGCATAATAAAGAATTTTTGGCTCAGCTTAAAAGAGGAAGAACTAACAGTCCTGGATGGCATCAAAGGGAACATGTTCTGAAGAAGGGCATGACAGGCGGAGGCCAAGTAAGCAGCATCTAAAACACAGATTCGTTCACGGATAACGGATTGTGACCAAGGATTGAGTGAAACCATTATTTTTTGCAAGCAATAAACTCGGTAAAAGCGAAACAAAGTCTGGTCCAGGGTTGGTAAAAGTGAAACAAAGTCTGAAGGGGGTCTAGGCCATTTGGTGAAGACGTTGGAACAAGGCAGGGATTCAATCACACGAGCTCAGAATAAGGATCCATGATTTCAGGGGCACGCTGTAACAAAGCGCACCTTCCAGGAGAGAACGAGGGAGCTGAGTGTGGCCAAGAAGCAACGACAGACCCTTACCAGAAAGAACCAAGTGGTAAGTAGCAATAACAGGCGGTTACCAGCAAAAGCAAGCGGTTATCAGTGAATCCACGCAGTTACAAGAGAGCACAGGTGGTTACCAGCAGGAGCAGGAGGCGTTTCCGTGGCTGTGGAGGCCTGGTTGCCTTCCGGCGAGGCTGCAGCTCGTGTCACGGGCAACTGGGGAGAGGCATGAGCAGGAGAGGAGTTGGGAGCAGAAAAGGGTACATTTTTGGGAGCAGTAGTCATTTTTGTTGGGAGCAGTAGTCAGAAAAGGGTACATTTCTGTTTCCTTTCGTTTCTATCATCACTGTGATAAAACGAGACATCGGGGAGGGGGATTGGCTGAGGACACGGTGAAAGGGGAGAGGGAGGGAGAGAGGCGGGATGAGAAGAGGTGGAGGGAAGGGGTGGCAGCAGAGCGAGAAGGAGGTAATACAGGAGCAGTGTGACTGTAACGAGCAGCATTTTACTGGCGACGGAAAATGCAGCTGCGACTGGAACCGCACAGGCGACGGACAATGCTGTTGCGACTGGAACCTGGGCTGCATTGCCTGGGAAGGCAGGACGCGAGGGATTCAGAAACGGACGGTTGAGGTGAAAAAGGCGGTCGAATCGGGAAACAAACGACAGATACGACAGGAACGATACGGAAGGGAGCGGGCGAAAAAACGGCGGAGTACGGGAAGGAATGGCGTCGAATAGGGGTAGCGGAATCAGAGAAGCGACACAGACGCATGAGAATTCTAAACGCGATAGCAGTAAAGCGACACGAATTGGCTGAAGTGACTCACCAGAGAGACCGCTCCAAGGGAAACGCAGGAGGACGCGAGAGCCGCCATGGCTACGCGGTAAGGAGGCAGTAATGCTTGCTGCGGGCGCTCCGCTTCTTGAGGCGAATGGATAAGGGAATCAGACGGAGGCGTGCAACAGCCACAGGGGGTTTGGCTGCAATGATCGCGACGATCGCAGCGAACTGGAATGCGATAGATCGGATGGGTCGCCAAGGATGTGCGACGCCAGAGGGTTGAGCGTGTAACATTTCCTTTTCTTGGCCAAATTTTTAAACATGCTCAAACCATAGAAAATACATCTCAAAAAGGTCAGGCAAATACATTAGTGAGCACCTATAACTATGGTAAGTATATACGCACATAGTTAAACCATGCTATTCACCTTTGGGCACACAAACGGGTCACTTCCTAGCTTGGAATACTGAATTCACACCTTGGTTACCCACTCAAGGCTACACCCTACACCACTAGGTTCAGTATCAGCAGCACTTGTCCGTCCGCATTTCAACACTGCAGTCAACGAAAGCATGTACACACTCTGGGCAAACCCCTCACACAATCCACCCATCCCTGTCAGCACGCCACATCAGCACCCAAGGGCCCGTCAAACAGCAACTCTGAAAACTCTTCCGGGGAGAAGTCATCGGCCAATGGGAGATCATCTGGTAGCAGTTCCCCCTCCCCCTCGTCCCCATGGCAGTTGCTGCCGTCCCCTTGCTCCTGAGGGCCACACGAGAGGAGTGGAGAGGACCACAGGAGGAGAGGAGAGCACACGACATGAGGCTAGGAGCACACACAGCAGGGGCAAAACACATGAGGGGCCGCCGTTTAGGGCAACAGGAGAGAAAATGTGAACCCAGGGGTGCTGGTAGGAGGAGCACAAGCATCCCACTCTCCTTGTCCTTCCATCCCCTCCATTACCCATGAACCTCCCTACATCTTTCCCCAACCCTCCCCTCCCCTCTGTCTGCAGCCTTTCTCACTCTAGTTGCCCTCCTTCCCACTCCCTTCCCACCTTGCCCACCCTCCACTGACCTTCTCTCACCTCCCTTCAGCACACCCCCCTTCTCTCTCACCTCGCCACCCCCCTCCCTCCCACCATGCCACTCCCCTCTCTTCCATCACAGGCCCCAGTCCTCTGTCTCACCATACCGTACCGTCTACCCTGTCCCAGCCACCAGACTTCTCCCATCTATGCCATACCTCTCCCATCTATGCCCTTTCACCAAGCCATCATCGTGCCATACCCACAATACCCGCCCCCCTCCCCCTCCCCGCTCTCCACCCATTCTATCTTCACTGCGGGTGCTTCTCAAGCTTCCTCGCCCCAAACCAGGCTCAAAAACCATACCTCCCCACCTCCCTCACTCCCTCCGCCACCCCTCTCACCATGTCATCTATGCATGCGTGTGATGAGGCGCCGCATGAAAATCCCCACCCATCACGCATCCCTCCTCCCTCCCTCCCTCCCTCCCTCCCTCCCTCCCTCCCTCCCTCCCTCCCTCCCTCCCTCCCTCCCTGTCTCTCACAATGTCACCATTGCAGGTGGAAACTGAGGCGCCTAGAAAAAATTCCCACCCATTACACATCCCTTTCCCCCCACTCTTTCCTCCCTCCCTGCCTGCCCTGCCTGCCCTGCCTGCCTCTCACCATGTCATCATTGCGGGCGAATCTGCCTCGCACACGCGGGCGGCTGTCTGCCAGTGTCTTGCGGCACACATACTGGCGGAGGTGGGGGGAGGGTGGGGGGAGGGTGGGGGGAAGAAGGGGGAATGGGGGAGAGGGGATGAGGGGATGAGGGGGGGGGCAAGGGGGGTCACAGAGATTACTTGTGAGTTGAATCGAAGGCTGCTGTTTGTGAGAGTCTTGCAGCACACGTACTGGAGGAGGTGGGGGGAGGGTGGAAGGGGAAGGAGGGGGGGAGATGAGGGGCGTGGGGAGTGCAGGGGGGAAGGAGCGCACACAGAGGTGGCTTGTGAATCGACTCAAAGGCTGCTGCTGTCTGCCAGAGCCGTGCAGCACGTGTACTGGGAGGGGATGATGGGGGGAAGAGGGAGACGGGGGGGAGATGGACGGGTGGGTGTGGTGGGGTGAAAGGTGAGGGGTAAGGGGTGAGGGGGAGGGGTGAGGGTTGAAGGAGGAGTGTTGAGGGGGATGGGTGAGGGGGGGCGGGAAGAAGGGAGAGGGGAGAGGTGATACGGGAAAAAAGAGAGGGGGAAGGGAAGAAGAGAGAGGAGAAAGGGGAGAGGGGAGCGTGGGATGGGTGTAGGGCAAGGGGTGACGGCCACAGGATGTGTGGACGAGGGCAGGGAGGGCGAACTCACTTACCGAAAAAAGGGTGAGGGAGGGATGAGCACACACGCACACACGAGCCCACACACACAGCTGCTCACGAGCCACCCACCTTGATCTTCTTAGTGAAGTTGCGTTCGTGGCGCTTCTGCCGGTATCGTGAGATGCGCTGCTGGCGCTCCTCCAGTGTATAGCGCCCCACGCGGAACACAGCAGAGCCGTCGTCCGCCATGACACCGGGGAAGGGCAGCCCGGACATGGCGCTCAGGGACTGTGGGATGAAGGGAGGGAGAAGGGGAAGGTAGTTAAAGGAGAGGCAAACTCCAGGGTGTTTCGCCCCACGCGGAACACAGCACTGCCGTCGTCCGCCATGCCTCCGGGAAAGGGCAGCCCGGACATGGCGCTCAGGGACTGTGGGATGAAGGGAGGAGAGGCGGAAGGGAAGAAAGGCAATCACGGGTTGGGGAAAGGCAATTTGATTTTAGAGCTGACTCAAAAGTCAGCCCAGGCGAGCAGTACCCTTATAAGGCAGCCTGGACATGGCACTCAGGGGGACTGTGGGATGACGGGAGGAGGGAGGGAGGAATCGGGAGGAGATTCATTTCGAGGGCCGGGAGGGTAATCTAGGTCAAAGGCACTCGATGGGGAAAGGCAGACTGACGTGGTGCTCAGGGACTGTGGGATGACGGGAGGAGGGAGGGGAAGAGAGTCAACCAAGGGTCGGGAGAAGAATGTAGGCCAGCGGGACTGTGGGAAGGGGCAGCCCAGGTATGGCGCTTAAGTACTGTGGGATGAAGGGAAGGTTGAGGGCGGGACGGGAGGGGAAGTTAAGGGAAGTTGGTCAAACTGAGGAGATGGGTGTGCGGGAGAGCGACAGAGGGGGGAAAGAGAGCGGAGGAGGAGAGAGGGAATCTCGTGAGGGAGATGCGCAAGTGCTGCCTTTGATTTACTTTCAGGCTACGCTTGCCTCTTGCCATATATGCCATTGTCGCTAAAACAAATTTCGCCTTGTTTCGTCAGCGATCCGTTTTCTCTGCAGCTTGTGAGTGGTGCGTTCTATTCATCAGCATCACGCCCTTTTTTGCTTCTTGCAGTGTGCCCTCTTCCTTTATAACAATGTAAATCATACAGGGGTGTGTGTTTATCCGAGCCAACCTCACCTGAATATCGCCTGTGCTCTGCACTCTCCGCATTCCGCTTAGCGACGGAAGCCGTGGGGGAGTCAATCCCCCCATCGCGCCCATCCCTCCGCCTCCCTCCATCCCCATCACCCCCCGCGCATCTGCTCCCACGCCCCCTCCTACACGCATTTGCCCCATCGTCGCGGCCCCCCCCGCATGTCCCCCCCTGCTTCCGCCCATTCCGCCAGGTCGAGCGCCCGTCCCCGCTCCCCCTGACTCCGCGCCCATGCCTCCGCCGTCCCCTCCCCTCCCCACCATCCCCCGCTGCTTGCTGCTGCTTCCGCCAGCCTGCGCCCCTGCAAACTCCCCGCGCGGGGAAACAGGGGGGATCTGCGGAGGACCCATACTCCTGGGGGAAGCTAGCGGCGCCCCTCCCGCGCTGCTAACCACTGGCCCCGCGCGCCCACCCCCCCCTCCGCCTGCCCCCCCGCCTGCCGCAGCAGCTGCGAGCGCCTGTCTATGCAGCTGGCCTAGAGAGTGGCTGCTGTGGCTTCGAGGCATCATTCCCCTCCGCTGCAACAGGCGCTGGCGCAGCAGCATCTGCTGCTGCTGCTGCTGCTGTAGGTAGATCGACGGCAGAGGCTTCAGCTCGTCTTCTTCCCCCTCTTCCCCCAACTCCGCCGCTTCTCCCGCTCTCCCGCGCGTCCCCGCGCCGTCTCCCCCGCTCCCGTCCTCCTCGCTCCCTGAGTTTCCGCTGCTGCCATCGCCAGTCCCCCCGCCCATCCCCAGCTTTCTCCTCGCGCCCATGCCTCCGCCCATACCTATACCTGCGCTTCCCGCGCCACCCGCGCCCGCCCATCGCTCCCCCTCGGCGCCTCCGCCTGCGCGGCTGTGGTGCGACAGCTGCCCCATGGAAGCCACGCGCCGCATCTTCGACGGCGCCATTCCCGCCGCCATTCCCGGCGCGCCCCCCGCAGCCGCCGCCGCCGCCGCCGCCGCCAGAAGACCCAAAGCCCGAAGCTCCTGACGCCGAACCTGACGCCGCCTGCATCCGCGGCACCGCCGAAGCTGAGCTCACGCTCATCCGAGCCGCAGCCTGTAACCCGCCCAAGCCTTCGTGGTAGCTTCGGCGACGGGGAAGGCTCGGTGCGAAACTGCTGCCGCTGGGGGCGCCAGGGCGCGGGCGCGGGGAGGAGAACGTGCCCTCCTTAGACGGACTAACGGACTCGCTCTTAACGGGTACAATATCCCCCCCCGCGCGGCAAAAACCCGACTTGGCGCTAACGGGCTCCGCCTTTACTCTCCCCGCGCCCCCCCCGCCCGCCCTACTCGCGCCGCTCATTGCCGGCACGGGGGTGCCTAAAGCGGGGGCAGCGCCGCCCAAAAAACCCGGGGCCGGCATCATGCCTGGGAACATGAAGGGCGGCGGGAGGCCGGGGAGGGCGGGAAGGGACGGCGCGTGGGATGCGGCGGGCATGGGGGAATCGTCGTCCGCGGGTATGGCGGAGGACGCGGTGCCTCCTGATTTCTGCTGCTTCGCCGTGTGTTGCTGTTGCTGCTGCTGCGCATGCTGCATGTGCATGTGTTGCATGTGCATATGCATGTGCATCTGCTGCATGTGCTGCTGCATGGCGTATGGATGCCCATGCGGGTACACCATCCCGTTAGGTATAGCGCCAGGGGGCATTCCTGGCGGCATCCCCGGGGGCATTGCGCCGGGCATGGGCGGAGGCATCCCCGCGGGCATCATCCCGGGCGGCGGCATGGGGAACGGGTGCGCAGGCATGGGGTGCCCCTGCGCGGGGTGGCCGGGCATGGGGTGGCCTTGCATCGCCGCCATGTGCATCGCTTGCGCCGCCGCCATCGCATGGTGCTGCGCCATCGCCGCCGCTGCCGCGGCTGGCGGCATTCCCCCCCACATCCCCCCCGGCATTCCCCCGGGCATCCCCATCGGCCCCATCCCTGCGCCATGTTGCCCCCCCATCGCGCCCCCGTGCGGCAGGCCTCTGCTCGTTGCGCCGTTCACCGCCGCTCCCCCCGCCGCGTCCGCCGCTCCAGCGGGTCTCCCCGCGCCCTTGTGTTTCTGCGCGGGCCGCGTGCGCGACACCATGGGGCTGAACACCTGGCTGTGCCCGAACGACGACGACGGGGGAGAACCCGGCCCATCCGCCGCGTGCGCGGTATCCCCCACCACCCCCATGCCCTGCGTCTGCGCCTGCGCCGCCGCCTCCTCCGCCTCCGCACCCACCTGCTTGTGCGCAAATCCCTGCGCGTGCGCGTGCCTGTGCGCGTATTGGCGCATGCGCGAGGGGGAGGGCGGGGAGGAGCTCATGGAAAAGCTACAGTCCGACCCCCGCGGAGACGTCATCTCACCCGCTGCTCCCCCCGCCTTTTCCCCCGCGCCCGCGGCTCCCATTTCCCCCCCTTGCGCGAAATTCCCCTGCGCGTCCTCCCCGTTCCGCGCGCTTCCGCCCCCCGCGAGCCCTCCTCCGCAGTCCGCGGTCGGCTCTCCCTCCGACAACACGCAGTACGGCGCTAAGCTAACTTCCGCAATCTCGAATATCCCCCGTCGCTTCCCCCCCTCGGGCCGTCCGCTCCCCGCGCCTGCGCGGTCCTGGTTCCCCCGCGCGGCTTCGTCCGCTTGCGACGCTCCCGCCGCCGCAGCGCGCTGCGAGTGATGAGAGGGGTCTACCGTGGCCGCTACTGCTGAGGCAGGGACTGCTGTTTCTGGAACCGCTGCCGCTGGCGCCGCTGCTGCAGGTAGTCCGGCCGCAAAAGAGATGCTGGGGTCTGCTGGGGGACGGACGGCACGCAGAGAGAAAGGCATCCGATGAATCCGCGGAAAGATTCAAAGAACGCGGCAGGGAGACGTTACCGCACCGTCACTTAACATGTAAGAAGATATTACCGCACTGCGTATCGGGCAACGCTACCGCACTGTTACTTGGACGTCTCTTCTGTTACGCGAGCTTACCGCACTGCGTGTCGGGCGCAGCAGCGAGCTGCGTGAAAATGTCGTCGTCTTCGTTGCCCGGCGTGTCACTCACGCCCAAGTCGCGAGCCATCGCCATGGCCGCGCCGCCCAGCCCGAGCTTGTGCGCCGCGTCGAGGTTGTCCTGCGCCAACCCCATGTCGAACTCGATGCCCTGCCGCGCGACAGTCGGGGGAATTTGGGGGAAACATTGGGGGAGTCAGAGGGGGGGACACTGGGGAGGAGACTCTGAGGCTGTCCTGCGCCAACCCCATGTCGAACTCGATGCCATGCCGCGCGACAGTCGGGGGAAGTTGGGGGAAACATGTCAGAGGGGGATACACTGGGGGAGTCAGTGGCGGGGTTATTGGGGGAGGCACTTTCAGGTTGTCCTGCGCCAGACCCATGTCGAACTCGATTCCCTGCCGTCGCAGGCAGAGACGATTGACAGTGGCGGAAGAGACAATGGAGACAGGCGACTGACCGGAGGGCCAAGAAAGCCCAAATTGGTAACCTTCCTATCCTCGGTTGAGTGTGGCCCTCGCACCCGAAATCTTGGGCAATTGTATTGCTCGCCCCAACCAACCGTCCTAACGTTGCACTTCTTGGCCCGCGGGTTTTAAGAACCCTTATAGATATTGTTGTCGCATCGGAAGAATCGCATTGCTTCGGACGAGCGTGCTAGCTTTCTCATATTATCTGCACTCACATCAAAGTCCGTCATGCCGAATATCCCGTCGTCGAAGCCGCCATGGAAGTACGCGCCGTTGGTCGCGTCGGGTAGCTCCGCCGTCATGGCGTCCGTCGCTGCTCTACCGCCTGCTGGCACGGGAAGAAACACGCTCCCATCCATTGCGGCCATACTGCGAACTAACTATTTACTCTCTCCCTCTCTCTCTCAAACTGACTTTTCTTGTTGTAGGAGCTTGATTTTTTTAAAGATAAAAATCTACGGATCACTTCGTTGTAAGAACGAGAGAATATGAGAGTAGGACATGCTCAGTAACATTGGCAAGAAATGAAACTTTTGAAGCTAAGGCCCGAAGCCGCTGGCGAATATGAGAAGAAATGCACAAGACGGCCTGAAAAGGCCGACGAGATACCTGACAAGGATTTTGGAACTGCCGGAGTACCAAGTGCTGCTAGCCTAGTTGAGGATGAGGTGAGGATAAGGAGTCAAATTTTCAATGGCTGGCTCCACTGCTCACACCCACACATCAGCAGAGCGAAACAGCTCGATTCCACCACAAACACTACACTGTGGCTGTGACTTCCATTCCAGCCTGTGGACCTGGGATGAAGTGATTCATGGGAGAGCCGTTTTGGTAGGGATAAGCTGGAGAGCACAGACAGCCGCTAGGAAATCACATCTATTCCTCCCCTCCAATCCCTTCCACAACGCAAGCGTTACGGAGATTCCAGTCCAGGGACGCGCCCCCTCGAGTTCTGCGTTCACCTCCCTCAGAATGCTATTGTTCCACCCAATCAAACCCCAATGTTCTGCCGCAGCGCCAAACCACACCCACCGCCCTGAACTGAACCAATCTGCAGCGCTGTTGGCCCGAGCCGAAGAAAAAACGGAACCGAGCCTCGCCTGAGTGAATTCGTGCCAGGAATTGACGAGCCGTCCAGCTTTGGGGTCACCAATCACTCCTGGTTCGCCAAAACTCCGCCGGGCCTGAGATGACGGCATGGAGGAGTGCCAAGCTGGGAGAAACTGACCAGGGCGAGCGCGACGAACCAAACCTTTTACGCCTAGGCCACAGCCACAAACTTCCTTGCCCTCCCGATAGCAGTGTCATGATTGCGATGGAGGCGCACACTGGTTCCTTCCCTTCCCTCTAGGAAGACCGTGACCACAAATGGCGATTGATGGAATTATGACACGGGAAACGGGCAGCGGATACGGGTTATCCGAATAAAGGAAACTACCCAAAAACCTATTTGTTTTGCCCTCATAAAATTCCTACAAGAAAGAGCAGAACGATACCTCAGTCATGACGTGGATACCACCAAACATGACCTGTCAGCTGATAAGGCTCCTTGAACTTGAGAATGTGGACCTCGAATCCAGTATCTCGCAGCACAGCTTCCAGACCCTCGTGCTTGCATTGCACCATCCACCGAACCCAGAAATATTTTTGATTGGCAGAAAATTCCAATCAGAAACTTGATATTCTGTTGCCAATGCAGTACAACTGTACTGTACTGCACTCAATCCACAACTGATGTAAACTAGCGGAGTGTAGTGTGGTAATATCACCTTGCTTGAATCCATTGCACCTAAGCACTGTAATTGACTTGTTTGCTGAAACATAAATTGCTAGAAGTGAAATAATTGAATGGCTCAATTATTAGAATGGGTTCAATGCTTGAAGGGTTGGGGTTGTAACGAGTCCCTCAGGTGAGTGTAATCCTATGTAAGTGCAACTAAGGATAGCAAGCAGCACATCAACAAACTACTGTTTGCCCAGATGCGCTTGCAACAGTGGCTAATACGCTGCTGCTGCTGCTGCTGCTGCTGCTGCTGCTGCTGCTACTGCTGCTGCTGCTGCTGCTGCTCCAGCTCCAGCACTCTGCCTTGTTGGCAACCTGGCCTTGGTGAGTTGACGCTTGCGCTCTACGACTAGGCGGTCCCACTGCGAGTGGCCTGAGAGAATGGTGTTCTTCACGGCGTCATACGTCGTCAGACGCACACTGCGAGGCATGGGAAAATGAGGGAATACAAATTGAACAAAGGTAAATTCAGACCACAGCGAGAGCAATGGTGGTTCTGATGTGAGTTAGCAGAGCAGGAATGGGGCAGAAAAATAAGTAGCAGTTCACAATGCTTACCTGCTGTTAGGGAGGTTCTTCACCGTGTTGGCAATAAAGCCTCGGTAGAGCCCCAGCCATCCATCTCGCCTCACAATTCCTACCACAACACAGAACCACACGCGTGTGCATTTTATGAGATTCACCTGTCAAACATTTGAACAGTCCCTCCCACCCACACGCATTCTTGGTGCACGAACCCTTCATCTGAATCTGTCTACGCACAAGTGACCCTGTGCCTGGGAAGGCCTGGAACATGGAATTGAAGGACGACCCTTCATGTGCAGTTGGCGCCTAGTGAGTCGACTCACTAGTCACTTCATACCTGGTACCAGCTACTCTGCGCCTCATAACGCAACTCATAAGTCACCTCAACGCACCTGGGAAGGCCTCGAGCATGGAGTTGAAGGGTGAGCCCTTCATCTGCATCTGGCGCCGCACTGTGTCGATGGGGTAGCACGAGACTGTCGCCAGTGTTGTTGCTGCCAGCGCTGTCACCAGGTTCGCCTGTGGCGTGCCCTGGTACTGCTCCGGCACCCTCCGCTTAATCCTGAGGAGAAGAGTAGGAGAGGGGGGAGAAAAGAGGATGGGTGAAAAGAGGCGCTGATGGGTTTGTTAGGCGGTGTGCACCCGCCACTGTATCCTGAGGTAAGAGGGGGATTTGGCGGGGAGGGGGGGAGGGGAGGGGGGGAACGGGGGTTGGAGGGGGTTGCGGGGGAGGGGTTCTGAGAAAGGGGGGTGTTGGTGGGTGTAAATAGGTGAATGGTATGATAAGGCAATGACAAAAATGCACGGCAATGAACCAACATGTTCAAGCCACGCATGTGCATACAATACAATACTACAAGCACACACGTGCTACATACATCCCAGCGAGTGATTTTTGAGAATTCTCAAAAATCACTCGCATGTGCATACAATACTACAAGCACACACGTGCTACATCCCAGCACAGATATACCCCATCCCAGGACGCACATGCCCCATCCCAGCAAGCAAACGACCATCCCAGCACACAAATGTCATAGGCGCAGAAGTTGAGGGCGATGTAGGGCGCAATGGACACCAGCGCGGGCCCCCCTCCATCCCAACGTGCACATACCCCATCCCAGCACGTACACGGCGTATCTAAGCAAGCAAACACCCATTCCCCCACGCACATGACGTAGGCGCAGAAGTTAAGGGCGATGTAGGGCGCGATGGACACCAGCGCCAGGCCCAGCCCATCCCGACATGCACACGCCCCATCCCAGCATTGAGTAAACGCCGTATCTAAACTACTAAAAGGTAGGGCGCAGCACGCACATGTCGTAGGCGCAGAAGTTGAGGGCGATGTAGGGCGCAATGGACACAAGCGCGGGCCCCAGCCCCTTGTACAGCGACCTCGCGCCCTCTTCCCTCACCATCGTCATCGCCACCTGTCCCACCCACTCACACACAGAGCCACGCAAGGAAGAGCGCCACACGGGCATAGCGAGACAGAGTGAGCATGCCAACATACGCGGTGTGGTGCCGGTAAAGGTAATGCTAGCGAGGGTAAGACGCCAGTGACAGCAGAGCAACAAGGGCGGATGGTAGCGCGCAGGCCAAGCAAGAGACGTGCGAGCGCTACTGCGTATGCGTGATGTGATGTGATGTGCCAATGGCAATCACCACAGCCTCAACCCTTCTCCACTCAGCGCCCAACCAAACCCCTTTCCGCCTCCTCTCTTGCCTCCGCCACAGCCACCCCAACCAGCGCTTACAAGCTACGTAATGACCTCATGCACAAAACAGAAGCTCCATCGGACTGGTAACTCCGCTAGAGCCACTCCAACCAACTGCCTGTAGCAGTCAATCGCCAACACTACAACTGCCAGAATTATCAGTCCTACCGCCGCTTGCGGCGCAACCCCCTGCCTGCTTCATTCAATACAGCCCCTCGTCTCCCAGACTCTCCCAAACGTTCCTGCAAGACACCCTGCGTGACTCGCTGTAGCGTAACAAAGAGCCCACTCCCTAAACAATACATGCTCGTCTGCCCTGCTTGCCTAACAGCGCTGTGAGGCCCAGCCGCTGATCACCCGCATGTTCGCTTCTCTCGGCGTTCACGTGCTAACCGCACGCGAATTATAGCCAGCACCCGCCTCTCTCGCTCGTCCACTTCCCAGCGTCTCCACGAGACCACGTTTCACGCAATAGATACCCAAAATCGCTCCCGCGCGGCCTTGCTATCTAAGAATGGCACCCTACTGTATCCACGCCCTCGACCTCCGCAGTGCTCCAGCTACAGTACAGCTTCAACTACCCCTGACACTATATCGAAGCGCCTCACAGCGAGTCTCCCCACCTGCGCGATGCTCCCGTTGGTGGCGTCGAGCGCCATGCGCAATCGCAGCACGTCCAGCGGGTACGTCACCAACGTCGACGTCATCCCCGCGCACGCCCCCGCCGCCAGCCGCGCCGGCACCGACAGTTCCTTGCTGCTGCCTTGAAATTGCTTCTGAGGAACAGGTGACGCGGGGGGTTGGGAAATCGAGCTATGAGTCGACTAGCCGATTTAACGCGGTTCGATGATCTTCAGATCGCTTCGAAGACGAAAACGAGCGAACGGCATGACGAGCTCCTTGCTGCTGAGTTTAGCGAGGTTCGATGGGACCGCAAGGCGAAGACTACGAGCGGTAAGGCGAGAAACGGCGACGTGACGAGCAGTGAGGCGAGAAACGGTGAGGTGACTAGCAGTGAGGCGAGAAACGGTGAGGTGACAAGTGGTGAGGCAACGAGCGCACCTTGTAGAGCTCGTAGGCGAAGAGCTGCACTGCGCTGTACGGCACAATGCGCATGACCTGAACAGGGAGGGGGATGGGGAGAGACGGGGGTGAGGGAAATGACGGGCGAACGAGGACGAGATGGGAAGGAGATCGACGGAAACAGGAACTTGGGGAAGAGAAAAGAAGAGGAACAGAGCAAAGGAGTGAAGGGGACAGGGTTTAAAAAACAGGTAGCAGGTCAAGGAGAGAACAAGTATCGGTGGCGGAAAGTAAAATACCTGGGGCAGGTTTCCTTTCCAATAAGCAGTAATGCCGCCTTCCTTCCCAATGTCCAGAAACGACTGCCAGGAAATAGCGGGGACAGACACATGATAGAATCACCACCTTAAGCACGACTGGTGGATACTATAACCAATGGGGCTAACCGGCAGGCCCAATGGAAGCCGCGTGGCAATGCACCGTAGGTGACGACACGATGTCAAGAATCACCGTATGTACGACACTTGACCCGAGAGAAGCGGGGAAAATGCTGACGCAAAGTGCACCTTAACGAGGTTGATTTCTGTCGGCGGGATGACCTTCCCCGGTAATACGCTCTTGACCTGGGGTTACGCGAAACGCAAGCGGGATGCAGAACGAAAGGAAAGACAATGTTAACAAAGCGAAAATGGCAACTTGTAACGCCATTAGCTTCCTCAACCCAACTGCTTTCCCCTCTTGCTCCTCATTCCTATCGCTTCTGGCTTCCCCACCACTCTCCCGCCACCCACCTGGATCATCAGCTTCCATCGATCTAGCGGCGCGGTCGCGGTTTTAGCGGCAGCGCCGGCGACGGCGCCGGAGATGAAAAACGCGGCGTCCTTGGGAATGCCGCGGAGGAGCGCCAGAGGGTGCGTCAACAGCTGCACCACCGACGGCCTCGTCACTACCTGCTCCACACACCCAACCCGATCCTGCGCTGCAGCTCCGGCGACCGGCGCATCTGACGTCAGCTTCCGCTCCTCGATGGCCGATGCCTCCGAGTTTACGATTTTTAGGGACGCGACAGAGAGTGGCATGGACGTGGGAGCTTTTCCGAAGTTGGCACTGGTGACGGCGGGTGCACCGTCGGCCTTCTCGCTGTTCACACGCGCTACGGAAGCCGGCGATTTGACAAATGCGGCGCTCGAAATGGCGGCTAGAGGAAGGGCCGCGTGAGCCTCTGCTCCTGACGACGCCTTCGCCGCTCGTCGTGCCTTACCCGAGCGATGCCATACTGATTGGACGTGTGACCTGCTGAAAGAAGAACGGCAGTCCGATGCTCCGGATGGCAGTGATGCGGGTGGAAACGAGGACAAGGCGGCCTGAATGCCCTGAAACCTTTGCCGGTGCGTCTCGCAGAAACTCTCGAAACGCTGCTTGTGATCGGCTAGAGAGGTGTGCAATGTTGAGACGAGAGAGGAGAGATCGACGGCAAGGGCTGGTCCGTGCTTCGTACGACTGTCAAACTGAGATGCCATATGTGCTCTTCTTTAAACTACTGTAAAAATGTGGATGAAGGTTGAAAACGCTTATAAAGCACGTTCCTTCCACTTGGCTATCCTGAAGCTGGTACAGAACCAACCCAGCAGCAGGAATGGCCAACGCGAAGGAGTCAGCTGAAGGTAGCAGAAGGAAAGGGCTGATAATGAGGCTAGCACCCCGAATAAGACCTGACTGGCCGGGAGATAGCAGTCAGTCAGTGAAGCAAAGAGCAGGCTGCCAGTGGCAGGTTTTGAAGCAGCAGAAGGGTTTCAGGCCCAAGATCCATTTCCACTTTTTCCGCGGCCGCCAGCTCGGGGACTGGTTTGGTTGGGCCTCGAGGTTGGCTTCCTTTCTAGAGAAAAATCGTACGGCCGATGCCGCCTTCAACATGAGATCGACGGATTTGCACCTGTCGCGCCCCTGGTTTCACTTTCCAGGGTGGATTGGATTGGCATCGCACTGCCGCGTTCACTCCGTGCTGTGCGCCGAAATGTGGATGCAGGCCGTAAGAGCCGTCGATTACGAATTTCAGCCAGTCATCGAGTCGTTCATTTACTTTCGGGCTTGCGCAACCTCCACCCACAGCATCAGCCAGCGCTGACAGGGGAGGGAGCCCTCCGACCTCTAGTGTAACAAGTTAGCCTCCACGTGGACTGTGGCTCTCGCGGCACTGTAAGGTCAGGACACGTGGAAAGGCTTTTGTTCACATGTGCAAAAGCCTCATCTGATTAGGTCATCAAGATTATGAAACAATGAGAGACTCGCGGTGATTTTTCCGTTATGAAACAAATCAGTTCCGAAAGTCTGTTCGCGATTATGTAGAGACTCGCGGTGATTTTTCCGACGATGCTACAAATCTACTCTCGTAACGACGGGTACTTTTGACATGGTTCGTGAATTGTACGCCACACCAGCCGAAACCCTTCGTCAAATTTCCACTCAGTTGTGTTTTCCTGCCTACGGCCTGTCACCGCGGCGATGGGAGGAGGCAGAACGCGGGAAATTTCAGATTCCAAAAGCTGATGGACTTGCTTGCTATGGCATGCACTGGCGCATGAAATGAAAAACAAATTTGATCAAATTCTATCATTCCGTCCACAGCCGACTCCATCATTCTGCAGCCAGCTCCATCATTGCGCAGCCGACTAGTGAATAGCTTCTAGCACTATACGAGTCTTCATCTGTATGCACAACTTCGAAAAAAGGCTCGTTTTGGGGGGTGTTTATGGAGCAAAGGGGTTTCATTACAAAGTGTATCAAGCAGACGATAAATGCTGCCGATGAGCCTGTTGTGGCCGACGAATCGTAACTGTCGGCATTTCGCAGAAAAACTAGTTCAACCATCTCTCGACACACGCACTCGATAATTGGTCAACTCGCAAGCTCAAGCACGAGTCGTACAAGTAAGGACAACCCATTCGACCGACGATGGTTGATCACAGGAAGGGATTCGCTTCTGCGTAAAGATTGCTGTCAACCGGCGGAACTCTTGGTGGTCAGATTGGTGTCAGCATCGCCTCGCCTCCTCGCCTCGCCTCGCCTCGCCCCAACCTACTGCTGCTTCAGATTCTGCCTTCCAACCTGTCAGCAATCTGACCGTGAAGCTGTGTGCGTCACTCACACGTCACGCACCCGTTCCGCAGGCCACCAAAGATGCAGCCATCGGGACCGTTCTCCCGCAGCAGCAACCGACGGGATTTGATTCCCAGCAGGGATGAGTCGGAGATCGCGAGCACGCAAAAATCGGGAAGCTTCGGGAGGAGCAGCAGCAGCGGGTTGGGGTCGTCCCCTTACGGGCGGTGGAGATCGGTCGAGTTCTTCCTAATGTACTGCTACACCGCGTACTTCTACTACCAGGTAAGAGTTCTTAGACGCCTGGAAAGTCTTACTGCTGCACTTGCTATCCAATGTGCGGCCGGGTGAATCCACGAGTCGACGAGTCCTCCCAATCGCTCTCCTCGCCAGCACTTCCGGCGCTCCTTCTTTCCCCTTCTTTCTTTTTTATCTCACGATTCCTTTCCCGCCTCTGCTCATCCCCTCTCCTTTCCTTCCTTGCGCCGCTGCCAGTTCCTCTGGCGCGCCATGCGCCTGCCCCACTCCCCGCACGTCCCTCGTGAAGCACTGTTGAGTCGACCCAGAAGTCAACCCCTTATCTAACATATCTCCTCTTATTCCCTCCCTCATCCCCCTCCTTCACTCCCTCATCCCCCTCCTTCACTCCCTCATCCCCCTCCTTCACTCCCTCATCCCCCTCCTTCACTCCCTCATCCCCCTCCTTCACTCCCTCATCCCCCTCCTTCACTCCCTCATCCCCCTCCCTCACTCCCTCATCCCCCTCCTTCACTCCCTCATCCCCCTCCTTCACTCCCTCATCCCCTCTCCTTATCTGCTTCTCTCCTCCTCTCCCCCATCAGGTCATCCGTCACGCAGTGCACCCCTCTACGCGTCCTCCGTGCAGCACTGGCAGGTCGCTCGCTGAGTCCAACCGCAATTCATCTCTTTCTCTCCCTCATCCCCTCTCCTTCTCTTCCCCCCTCCACTGCCTGCCAGGTCATCCGTCACGCCGTGCGTCTCTCGAACCGCTACGCGTCTCTCGTGCAGCACTGGCCGGCGGGCAGCAGCGGGCTCTACCCCGGCTGGATTGCCGGCCGAAAGGTCGACCTCTCTGACGATCAGTGGCAGAACTTTCGCGGAAACCTCCCCATCCTGACCGTGGTCATGGGAGTCTTGTGCGGCTTGGCTTTGGTTATCAGGCTCGGGGTCGCAGGCTCGGCCCGAAGCAAGGACGGTTTGGTGGGGGGTGGGAAGAGGTGGGGCAGCGGGGGAGGACACGTGTTGGCGTGGTATTGGCTGGTAGCGTCGCTAGCGTACGTGGTGTACCTGCACGAGGCCAGTACAGCCTTCCTCCTCGCCTTTGCTGTAGCGAATTACGTTTTAGTGAAGCAGCTGGGGTCCTGGTGCGCTACCAGAGGTAGCAGCAGCAGCAGCAGCAGCAGCAAGCAGGGCGCGGGCATAAGCAGCAAGTGGGACTGGCTGTTCCCAACCGCCCTGTGGGCATGGCAGTGCGGCTCGTACATTCTCATCCGCTCGTACGACGGCTTTCGATTCGCCCACATTCCCCTTGTGGGCGGCAGCCTGGCGTTCCTGGACGCGCACAGGGGGGTGTTCCGATGGGAGATCTGCTACAACCTGCTGCTGCTGCGCATGATCAGCTTTGGGCTCGATTACTACTGGGCCGCCCGGGATGCAGCAGCAGCAGCAGCCGCAGCCGCAGCAGCAGCAGCAGGGAATGCAGGGAGCAGGGGTTAAGAGTCCCAGGGGAGGGTTATCAGAGGGAGGGCCGCTGCTGGGGGCCAAGATCACAGGCACTGCCAGTGGCAGCAGCGTGGGAAACAGCTTCCTGGAAGCTCACCGAGCCAAGTGCTTGCAGTGCCGGCAGGGCCAGGCGTGCTACACGGCACGGCAGGGGGAGAGCCTCCCTCTGGCTGCATACTCCCTCCCCGCCTACCTTGCTTACCTCCTCTTCGCCCCACTCTACATCTCCGGCCCCATTTCCTCTTTCAATGCCTTCACCTCGCAGCTCGACACCCCGCAAAAGACGATGTCTGCCGCCCGCGTCGCCATGTACGCCATCCGGCTGGCGGCCTCCTTTCTCCTCATGGAGCTCATGATGCATTTCTGCTACTTCCAGGCACTTGCCAAGTCAGCAGGACCCTGGTTCTCGGAAGCTTCCCACAGCACCGGGGGTAACGACCTAGGGAGTGCCTTATGGGGTCAAGAGGCCCCCGGGAATCTCGCCTTGGGGATGAGCATAGTGAGCTACGGCGTTCTTAACTTCATGTGGCTCAAATTTTTCCTCATCTGGCGCTTCTTCCGCCTCTGGGCACTCGTGGCCGGCGTGGAAACCCCCGAGAACCTTCCGCGGTGCATCAACAATAATTATGATATTGAAGGGTTCTGGCGCGGGTGGCATGCGTCGTACAACAAGTGGATCGTGCGGTACCTGTACATTCCGCTGGGCGGCGGGAAGCGGAAGCTAGTGAACGTGTGGATCGTGTTCACGTTTGTGGCGCTGTGGCATGACCTGGAGTGGAAGCTGCTGTGGTGGGCGTGGCTCACGTCGCTGCTGCTCGCACCAGAGATGATCGTCAAGGCCATCGGGAACCTCAAAGCCCTGCAGGTACATGCCTTACTGACACACGATTGGATGCGGTGTAGGTGAGATTCCTCCATGCGTTGATTCCTACTGTGGCATCGGATACTCTGCACTGTGCGGGAAAATGTATTTTGAGAGCCACATCAGGCGATGGCTTCTACCCGAAGCACCCCTTTCATCGCCTTATCCCCTGTTCTGCTCCTCCTCCGCCTCCTGTTCTGCTCCTCCTTAATCTCCTCTTCTGCTCCTCCTTAATCTCCTCTTCTGCTCCTCCTTAATCTCCTCTTCTGCTCCTCCTTAATCTCCTCTTCTGCTCCTCCTTAATCTCCTCTTCTGCTCCTCCTTAATCTCCTCTTCTGCTCCTCCTTAATCTCCTCTTCTGCTCCTCCTTAATCTCCTCTTCTGCTCCTCCTTAATCTCCTCTTCTGCTCCTCCTTAATCTCCTCTTCTGCTCCTCCTTAATCTCCTCTTCTGCTCCTCCTTAATCTCCTCTTCTGCTCCTCCTTAATCTCCTCTTCTGCTCCTCCTTAATCTCCTCTTCTGCTCCTCCTTAATCTCCTCTTCTGCTCCTCCTTACTCTCCTCTTCTGCTCCTCCTTAATCTCCTCTTCTGCTCCTCCTTAATCTCCTCTTCTGCTCCTCCTTAATCTCCTCTTCTGCTCCTCCTTAATCTCCTCTTCTCCTTCCTCGTTCTCGTATCTCCCCTCTGCCTGCCATGCCACAGGGCTTCCGCAGGTCGTGGCTGTACTGCAAGGGCTGTGCAATAGCAGGCGCCATCAACGTGCTTGGGCTCATGGCGGCCAACCTTGTGGGCTTCGTGGTGACTGTTCAACCCGCTCTTCATCCCCCCACCGCTCGCACCTCCTTACCCCACTCCTCCCATGCCACAGGGCTTCCGCAAGTCGTGGATGTACCGCGAGTGCTGTGCCATAGCTGGCTCCATCAACGTTCTAGGCCTGATGGCGGCCAACCAGGTGGGATTCGTGGTGGGGCTGGACGGCGTGCGCGGCTTCTCACTTCATCCCCATCATCCCCTTTCAATCTTGTCGCCTTGCATTGCAGGTCTTCCGCAAGTCGTGGATGTACCGGGAGTGCTGTGCAATAGCCGGCTCCATCAACGTTCTAGGCCTGATGGCGGCCAACCTGGTGGGATTCGTGGTGGGGCTGGATGGCGTGCGCGGCTTCCTCTCCAGCTTCCTCTCCGACCCCTTCCTTGTACTCGTTACAGTCTTCTCCATGTACGTTGGCGTGAAGCTCATGCTAGAAATTCGCGAGGGCGAGGCGAGGGCAAAGGCGAAGCAGAGCGTGGTGGGGGTGGAGGGGGCAGGGGTGGGGGTGAAGGTGGAGCAGGGGTTGCCAGGTGGAGTGGATGACAAGCACGGGCATCAGATGTGAGACGGCAGAGAAAGCTAGACAGCATTGGTTCGGGCATGAACACCAGATGCCAGCAGGGGTTGGATCTGACATGGACATAGTACCGCTGGTGCACCATGGGCGTCTAGTGCTATGTTGCATTCCGTGTGATACACTGCGAAACCCAGGGCCGGTGGCATCATGATGAAGCCAGTGGCAATGATTATCTCGTGTAAACCACCAGGTGATGCACCATATGTTGGATCCGGCCCAAGCTTTACTGGCATTGCATTGGCAACCACTGAAAAGTATGGAACCCTAAAATGTACTATCTATCCTCTACATGGACCCCCTAAGAGAGTTCAGCTCCTACTTGGTACAAAGCTCTGCATCATTTGCCATTTGTGCTAAAGTACTGTCATTGTCACCTTTACCTACAAATAAACAACGTCTGATGCTTGGTTGGATTGCAATCCGAGTTCTAGTGAGTCTGATCCACTTGGGACAGTACAGAAGTGGTTGTGTGTAAATGTAATTGTGAAGGAAAATGTTTATGACAAAATCGTTCCAATGTCGTTTGCTGAACAATAAATGTGAATTGCAGCGTGTAGGGAACTACAATATCAGCACAACTCCGTGCCAATTGGACTGCCACTCGTCAGCCTTCCTCGAGTGTGACGGTTGCGCGAGTGGCCCGCAATACGGGAAACCAATCAGCAGCGAGGACGAAAAATCCGGTGAGACCCATCACATGGCTATCCAGCAGCCGCGACATCAGAAGGATTGCGGCGACTCGGTTCGACGATTCCTGGCACAATCAATCCAGGACCCCAATCCCAGGCACTCTCGTAAAACTGGGTCTCAGACCAACCGTACAAAAGGCACGAGTTTTCAATTATTCACCAAGCTTCAGCAGTACTTCCAACACCTACATACCTGTCAGTTCTTATTAAGCAGACAGAAATGGCTGCCCTCGCCAACGCTGCTGTTGCTCCCTCCACCTTCGTCGGCCAGAGCGCTGAGCTCGCCGCCAAGGTGAACAATGTCGAGGCCCGCGTCTCCATGAGGAAGACGGCCAAGGCCGCCCCCTCCAGCTCCTTCTACGGCCCCGACCGCCCTCTGTTCCTGGGCCCGTTCTCCGCCCCCCCTTCCTACCTCACCGGCGAGTATGCTGGTGACTACGGGTGGGACACCGCGGGTCTGTCCGCCGACCCCGAGACCTTCGCCAAGAACCGCGAGCTGGAGGTGATCCACGCCCGCTGGGCTCTTCTCGGTGCCCTGGGCTGCCTGACCCCCGAGCTGCTGGCCAACAACGGCGTCGAGTTCGGCGAGGCCGTGTGGTTCAAGGCCGGTGCCCAGATCTTCTCCGAGGGCGGCCTCGACTACCTCGGCAACCCCAGCCTGATCCACGCCCAGTCCATCCTGGCCATCTGGGCTTGCCAGGTGATCCTGATGGGTGCCGTCGAGAGCTACCGCGTGGGTGGCCTGGAGGGCTTCCAGGAGGTGGAGGACCCCCTGTACCCCGGCGGTGCCTTCGACCCCCTGGGTCTGGCTGACGACCCCGACGCTCTCGCGGAGCTGAAGGTGAAGGAGCTGAAGAACGGCCGCCTCGCCATGGTGTCGATGTTCGGATTCTTCGTCCAGGCCATCGTGACCGGCAAGGGTCCCCTTGAGAACCTGTCCGACCACCTGGCTGACCCCACCGTGAACAACGCCTGGGCCTATGCCACCAACTTCACCCCCGGCCAGTAAATGCTTGTCTTTCTGAAAAAAAATATAGAAATATTATACACGATTTTCCAAAAACATTGCCAACCGAATTTCGCAATCAGCTGCCTGGCCACCGACCTAGCTAAACACATACATTGCTCCTGAAGAATATTTGTGTAGACGAATTTTGACAAGCCCGATGAATTTTCACTTACTATATAATACCATCGCGCACGGGAAAGGTAAAACATCAACCGGCTGGGGTGTTTATAGCAGCTGTGGTAGGTGAGTACGCTGACAAGTGTAATGTGGAGAGACGGAAGTTGGGAGGGAAGTTAACTGATACGGAGGGGAGATGGCTAGGCAGCAAGGGAAGGTTCGGTAGGAGACGGGGAAAGTAGATGGGTGTATAGCATTTGACAATGGGGAGGTAGGAAGGGGAGATGGGTGGTATGGAGGAGAGATGGGAGGTAGAAAAAAGAGAAGGGGAAGCAGGAAGGAGACAGGGAGGCAGGGAGAGGGAATCAAGAGGCAGGAAGAGATCTGGAGGCAGGAAGAGGAGTTGGGGAGGCAGGATTGGGAGATAGGGAGGTGGAAAGGGGATGCTGACAGTCAGGAAAGGAAAGGGGGAGGACATGGAGGGGAGATGGGAGGCAGAGAGGCGAGAAGGGGAGGCGGGAACAGGAGATGGAGGGACAGGATGGGTAGACGGGGCAGGGGAGGGAGAGGAGGCAGGGCCACGAGGGGCGACGAGGCTACAACGTTAAGCACGTGAGGCCGCGATGGGCGGGGGCTAGTCCAGCAGTTTGCGTAGGAGAAGTCTCCGGAGTAAGGGGTTGCAGGCTCTGCGATTGAAATTGGACGGGCGCATTTGAGTTCTCTCACTCCTCTTGAATTTGTCAAGTAGGCGGGAGTGTGGGAGATGCGAGAACGCCATGGCTGGGTAGGGAATGCGCCAGCCAGTGGCCTAATGCTTTTGGAGAAATATTTGACACACAAGTGGGGCCACTGAAGAATCTCGTCGCTGTGAGGAAAGGGGTTAGGGATGTAATTGTTCATGGAAGCTTGTACATTTTGTTATGTTTTCAATTATGAGGAGTCAACAACACAAAAAATGATTGCTATTGCAAGCGGAGTAGTCAAATTTGTTACGAGTGACTTCTGTACTTGTGAGGGGGAAACCCGTTTCCCGCCTTTCACAACCTTTTCCCGTACCGCCTTGGCCTGGCTGGTTTGCTGTGGCAGGAAGAACTGGCAGGGCAGCAATCGCCTTTTCCGAGCCTGTCGTCCCAGGCTCCCAGACAAGGGCAGAACGCAAGACGGAGGAGTTCGGCTCGGCAATTGCGAAGCGCATTCGACATTCAATCAGCTCCGTCAAGGGCGACGCGACGATAAAAGATTGTCGGAGCAAACCTGCCTCTGTCCTTTTGCCTTCCATCCGAGGATTTTTCTTTTGAACAAGTAAACCGACTTCTAACTCACATCATCATCAGCACGCTTTTCCACACACAACTTGGCTACCAACATTCTACCTGCAAGATCTCAGCAGACAACTGTTCCTTTATAGCCGGCCAACATCTAGGTATCTCTGGGTGTCTCGTAGAAATATCGCCCCTTGCGGCCATGGTCTAGCGTAGCTCGGTAAAGTTACGAATGTTCGCGGGTTACTTTAGTTTAGAGTTCACGCTATGGAGCAGCGGCAGGCGCTGTGGATGAACGTGGTGGTACCGGCGGTCCTCATAATTCTGTGCCTCGAAACATTCCCGTGCTCCGCTCTTGGTCTATCCGGTGCGCAGCGCGGAATGCAATTCGTCCGATTGAACCAGACCAACGTGTACCACGGCAAATGCTTAGACGGAAGGTACGGCCTTTTCGTTTCGTTTCAAAAAGCAGCGACCTGGCAGAGTTCAGATAAACATCCGAATGAAAATAGCAGCACCGTCAAAGGGCTGCTGGGGGCTGTAGCGAGCCGTGCTTCAGCCACATGGTCGCATCAGCCAGCATCTGCTCCCGCTAAACCCCCTCTCCCTCGAATCATTTCACCCCTCCTCGCCCCCTCTCCCCCCCTCCGTTAAAAACGGATCACATGCGCGCAGCGAGCCGGGGTACTACATCCGCACGGGCAACAAGCGCGGCGCGCAGAACTGGGTTGTGCACCTCATGGTATGCTGACGTCATGTCCAGATCAGCTGCCGTGCCTGCTGATTCACTAACACCACCACCTCGTCTTTCTCTGTTACTATTCAATTCGTTCAGTCGAGCCACATTTCCGTGTAGTTTCGTCTCCTTGCCTGGCGCCGCGTCGCCTCTGCCTCCCATATCTGGGGCGCCTCGAAGAGAGATTCTACTCAGTGCTAGATTCTCCCTTTCTACTCAGTGCTAGATTCTCCGCGTATGCCGCATTCCATCTGTCCATAAATTATCTCGTATTCATCGCAACCCTTCGTCACTCCTCGCATCCATTCGCCACTCCTCGCATTCATCCTCTCCTCAACTCGCATTCATTCGCCCCATCGCCCAATCTTGCATTCCTTCTCCTTTCCCCTCCTTGTCCCGCCAGGGCGGCAGCTGGTGCACGTCGCGCAGCCAGTGCATGGTGCGCGCGCAGACCAGCCTCGGCTCCACGCGCCCCTGGCCCGAACCCGGCTCCAAAAGCTTCTTCGCTAAAGTAAGCCCCGATACACTTATACCCTTTTGAAGTGAGCTTGCGAGAACTTGAACGCGTTGTAACCCCTCTCGTTAGAGTAAGCCCCGAATAACGCGTGTGAGGTGTGTGCGCGCTGCGACGGCGGCGGTGTGTGTGCGCGCGCAGATGAACGAATTTGGCGCGGGCTTTGCGGGCATTCTGAGCCGCAAGGGGCGGGAGAACCCCACGTTCAACGACTGGAACGCTGTGCTCGTTGTCTACTGCGACGGCGGGCTCTACGCCGGCGCGCGCGGCGCGTACACCGCCAACCTGACGAGCCCGTTCTTCCTCGAAGGCCACGCGTCACTCGCCAGCGTCATTCACGGTAAGCTCCACTCGCAATACACGCCACTCGCGGTACGCGCGCTGACCACTCTTGCGAACGCCATCCCTCTTTTCCCGAATCGCGGGTTGCTGAGCACTTCCCCCTCCCCTTTCCCCCAAATGGTCCTTTATCCCCGCCGTGCCCGCACGCAGACCTGCGGTTGCGCGGGCTGGGCTCGGCGCGCAACGTGCTGTTCAGCGGATGCTCCGCGGGTGCGCAGGCCGTGGCGATGACGTGCGACGCCATGGCGCGCGCGCTGCCGTCCGCCTCCGTCAAGTGCCTCATGGACGCGGGCTTCTTCCTCGGTACGCGCTGACTGCCCTGCTTGCTTGTCCCTTGATTCTCCATTTTCCGCTCTCTTGCTGCGCCCGTGCGCGCCCTTGCTGCGCCTGTGCGCGCCCTTGCCACGTGCTTGTGAGGCTATTCAAAGGCTCCGTGAAGTGCCTCATGGACGCGAGCTTCTTCCTCGGTACTACCGAGAAAACTAAATTTTCGTAGTACGCACGGATGTGCGTGCTGAACGTGCTGCGCCTGCGCCCTGCTGCTGTTCCCTGATGCCCATGCCCCATGCCCCATGCCCCATGCCCCATGCCCCATGCCCCTCCGTGCCACACCTACCCCCATCTACCCCCATCTACCCCCATCTACCCCCATCTACCCCCATCTACCCCCATCTACCCCCACCAATCCCCACGCGGCAGACACGCCGGACATCCAGGGGCGGCTGACGTGGCGGCAGAGCGTGGAGCGGCTGTTCAAGTTCCACCGCATGGGGCTCGGCATCCCCCCTGCCTGCCGGCAAGGTGCGTGTGCGCGTGCGTGTGGGTGTGCGTGTGGGTGTGCGTGCGTGTGCTCGCTCCCACCCGTCTCCACGTCGACTCAACAGTCATCTCGCATGGCTTTTCGCCTGCCTGTTGCCAAGGTGCGTGTGCACGTGGGTCTGTGTGCGTGCGCCCACCCATCTTCGAGTCAACTCAATGGTCGCCTCGCATGGGGCTAGGCATTCACCTGCACTTCCCCCCCCTCTCCTCGACTCCCCTCCACTCTCCACCTCCACACACGCCCTTCCATCCCCCCCGCACCCGCCCAACCCCACGCACGCCTTCTCCTACCCCCACTCGCCCCTTCCTCCTTTTCCCCCCTCAGCACACGCGCAGCAGCCCTGGAAGTGCCTCCTCCCCCAGTACAACCTGCCCTTCCTCCGCACGCCCCTCATGGTGGTCAACAGCCTACAGGACGAAATAGCAGTCAAGATGACCTTCGCGCCTCCCTTGTTTTCCCCTCTCTCTCCCCCTTTCCCACACACAGCACATGCACAGCAGCCGTGGAAGTGCCTCCTCCCCCAGTACAACCTGCCATTCCTCCGCACGCCCCTCATGGTCGTCAACAGCCTACAGGACGAGATAGCAGTCAAGATGACCTTCGCGCCGCCGCTCATCAACGGCACAGTCCGCGTCCAAAAGTGCATCGACAACAGCCCACTCTGCCCCGCACCCTACCGCACCGCATTCCACCTCTACCAGAGCCGGCTGGCGCGGACAGTGCTGGCGATACAGCGAGCGAAGCGGCGGCAGGGCGTGTGGTTTGAGTCGTTTCTGATGAACTCAACCTCTCACTGCTCTGCGGTGTATGGAGAATGGGTGGGGAAGGTGGACGTGCTGGGACGGCAGCTGCCGCGGGTGGTGGAGGAGTGGTTTTTCCATGGGAGGGGTGGCGGAGCTGGGGGGACGGGTGGGTTGGCGGGGAGCGGTGGGGTGAAGCGAGGGGGGAACGGCACAAGGGCTGGTGGTGTGGGTGCAGGGAAAAGTGGTGGGGGGAGACGGGGGGCAGGTGGTGCAGGCGCGGGGGCAGGTGGTGTGGGGAAAGGGGGCGCGGGGGCAGGTCAAAAGGGGTACAAGGGGGGGTGGAGGGGGAAGAGGCCCGTCCCCCGCCCACCGAAGGCCCCTGGCGTGCAAGCAGGCAGTGCAGGGTCGGTAAAACTCCCCTCCAAGAGGGGGGCTGATCAGATGGGGGCGGGGGGGAGCCAGGGCGGAGAGAAGGGCGCGGGGGGAGCAGCAGGGAAGGGGCAGCAGCAGCAGGGGGCGGGAAAGAACGCTGTGAAACGGCCTGGGACAGGCATTGGGAAGGGACCTGGAGGAGGGGGAGGGCCAGGGGCAGGGAAGGCGCCCAGAGTGGGGGGGGGAGGGGCAGGGAAGGCGCCGGGAGGGCAGAGAGGAGCACTGTGGCCCGGTGTGAGGGGTGTACGAGGTAAGGGGCGAGGTGGGTTGGCACGGACGAGCGGTGAGGAGGAGATAAGGAGGAGGTCGCATGGAGGAGGGGGGAAGAGTGGGAGGAGGAAGAAGGGGAAGGGGGGGAGGAGAGGAAGGAAGAGTGGGAAGAGGAGAGGGGGGAAGAGTGGGGGGAAGAGTGGGAGGAAAGGAGGAGGGAAGAGTGCGGGGAGGGGAGTTGGTAGCAGAGAGGGGGGAAGGCGGAGTGAGGTGCGTAACAGTGGGCCTGAAACGGTGATAGTGACGGAGGAATGAATGGAGGGGAGGAATGTTGAGGCTGAAATATAATGCTTCAGCGGCAGTGAGGTGCTTACCAGTGTGCCTGAGAAGGGGGCAGTGAGGAGGGAGGAACGAGGGGGGAAGCATTTATTGGGCAATGAGGAATGAGCGGGGCAGGGAGGAGTGTTGAGCGTAACATTCTAGTGGCCGAGCGGGTGCGAGAGCGGTCACCGAGTCATTGAGTGGTCACCGAGTCAATGAGCCTCAACAACACAACCTGTGCTCTCCCACCCAACCTCCAGCTGCGTTTTAGGGCCCACTCAACAGGATAAGTCACGTACCCTGATGACCCTTTCTAGCGCGGCCTGCAACAACCATTGTGGTTAATTTAGATGCACAGGGCAGTAGAGGTATCGTACGGTAGTCCTGGTGTTGTACACAAGGCATGAATCTCTATGCCTGATTTGTACGTACATGAGTGTAAGTGCATGCTACAACTAACAGCACAGAATGGACTTTGCTCAGCAGAGAAAATGAGGGGAAACAATGATGGGAACACAGAGCAGTCCCCTCCCCTACCTTGTGGCTCCAGTGCCTAGTATGTGAGCATAAAACCTACCTACCTAGTAACAGCCACTATAGCAGCTATCTATAGACACTAGGTGCCACCGGCTTGGGCAGCCGCAGCAACAGCAGCAGCAGCAGCAGGGCGGCGTGGATTGTCTTGTAGCAGTGCAGGGAGCAGAGCGGCAGGTGAGTCTTGGAGTCGCGATAGCGGAAGGGATTGTGGCACCCCGCCGCTGCACACAGGGCCCGCGGGGGTGGGCTGGGGTGTGGGGGAAGGAGAGGGGGGGAGAAGGGGGTATAAGTATAGGGAGTTGGGGTTTGAAGATAGATGGTAATAGAAGATTGGGGAGGGCGAGGGTGTGTGGTGGGGGGAGACAGCAGAAAGGGGTGGTTGGATGAGCGGAGATGAAAGCAGCACAGTCACACCGTCTGATGTGAGTGAAGGAAGGAGAGAAGGAAGCAGGGAAGCGCCGACTCACAGGGGCAGGGGCGGCTGTGGGCGGAACATGGCGGGCTGTTGGGAGTCCGGTGACCATGCCACCGTCACACCACCTGCTGTGAAGCGCATGCGTACAAAGCCAGGTGGCGGCACCTGACTGGCTGCCAGGCGCTCCTGCACGTGTGGGAGAAGAACGCATGGAGAGAGGCAGACCAGTGGTGGGTTGTCTTGTCACCGGCAGGCAGCGGCAGGAGCAACCCAGCAAACGCGACTGCACAACCTCTCACCCACACTTCCCCCCCGTTCCCTCATTCCAGATGCTTGCTGCTTGCTCACCCCCCCAAACCCCCTCCACCCACCCACCTCAGCCTCCTCCTGCCGCTTCTTTTGAATCTTCTGCTCCCTCCGCTTCCTCGACCCGTCCTGCCCGAGAATCTTCTGGATCGCGTTCTCCTGGACGGCGCGTGCCGCCCGCTCTGACTGCTGCTTGCGGCGCCGGGCGGCCTCCTCGCGCTTCAGCTGCCGCGCTGCCTCCACCTCCGCTGCCGCCCGGGCGGCGTGGGCGGCAGAGGACGGCGAGGAGGGCGCTGGAAGCTTCATGCTGCGCCGACTGCGACGCGGGGCTGAGGGGGAGTGGGGGATGGGGATGGGGATGGGGAAGGAGGGAAGAGAAGGGAGAGATGGGAGGGAGGGAGAGAGGAGTGAGACAGAGGGAGGTTACAGGGCAATTATTGAGCAATGAATGGTGGCAAAATGGAGAGAGCGAGAGAGAGAGAGAGAGAGAGAGAGAGAGAGAGAGAGAGAGAGAGAGAGAGAGAGAGAGAGAGAGAGAGAGAGAGAGAGAGAGAGAGAGAGAGAGGGGGCAACAAATCGTGCACATACTGGTTCCATGTTTTCCTTGTAACAAGTCACCTTGTAAGGGGTCCAAGGGGAAGTCATGCAGAGCTGAAGCGTCTCTGGGACTCTCCTTGCCCGCTGCCGCTGCTGACGCCTCCCCCTGCTGTGACCCCCCACTCTCATACACCACGTCCCCCTCCCCCTCCCCCTCCTCCCCCTCGCCCTCCTCCGCTCCCCCCAAACTCTTCGCATCCCCCTCATCCTCCTCTTCCTCCTCATCTTCCTCACCCCCCTCCACCCCTGCTTCCTCCTCTTCCTCCTCTCCTTCTCTTGTCTCAAGTCCTTCCTCCCCCCTCCCCTCCTCCCTTCTCCCCTCCTCCCCCCTCCCCTCCTCCCCCTCAGTTCCATCCTCTACTACCTCCACCCCCTCCTCCTCACCTCCGCCCTCCTCTCCCCCACCCTCGTCAGCCTCCTTCCTCTCCTCCTCTAAATCCAATATTCTCCTCCTCTTTCTCTTGGACCTTCCATTCCCACCCTCACCCTCCTCCTCCACCTCCTCCTCCTCCCCCCCCTCTTCATCCTCCCTCTCTTCCTCGTCCCCCGCCTCCCCCACTGCTTTGCTTCCCTCATTCTCACCCACACCCCGCCCTCTCTCCTGCTCGTCCTCCCTCACTCTCTGCCCAGCACCACCACCACCAGGGTCATCCTCCTCCTCTTCGTCCGAGTTGTCCTGTATGGTACCAACCACCACAAAAGCACAAAATTGGGAAGAAGCAGGGCCGAGTGGGAGAGAGGAGAGGAGAGGAGCAATGGTGAGATAACAGCAGTGCAAGCACGTGTATTGCAAGCACGTGTATTGCAAGCACGTGTATTGCAAGCACGTGTATTGCAAGCACGTGTATTGCAAGCACGTGTATTGCAAGCACGTGTATTGCAAGCACGTGTATTGCAAGCACGTGTATTGCAAGCACGTGTATTGCAAGCACGTGTATTGCAAGCACGTGTATTGCAAGCACGTGTATTGCAAGCACGTGTATTGCAAGCACGTGTATTGCAAGCACGTGTATTGCAAGCACGTGTATTGCAAGCACGTGTATTGCAAGCACGTGTATTGCAAGCACGTGTATTGCAAGCACGTGTATTGCAAGCACGTGTATTGCAAGCACGTGTATTGCAAGCACGTGTATTGCAAGCACGTGTATTGCAAGCACGTGTATTGCAAGCACGTGTATTGCAAGCACGTGTATTGCAAGCACGTGTATTGCAAGCACGTGTATTGCAAGCACGTGTATTGCAAGCACGTGTATTGCAAGCACGTGTATTGCAAGCACGTGTATTGCAAGCACGTGTATTGCAAGCACGTGTATTGCAAGCACGTGTATTGCAAGCACGTGTATTGCAAGCACGTGTATTGCAAGCACGTGTATTGCAAGCACGTGTATTGCAAGCACGTGTATTGCAAGCACGTGTATTGCAAGCACGTGTATTGCAAGCACGTGTATTGCAAGCACGTGTATTGCAAGCACGTGTATTGCAAGCACGTGTATTGCAAGCACGTGTATTGCAAGCACGTGTATTGCAAGCACGTGTATTGCAAGCACGTGTATTGCAAGCACGTGTATTGCAAGCACGTGTATTGCAAGCACGTGTATTGCAAGCACGTGTATTGCAAGCACGTGTATTGCAAGCACGTGTATTGCAAGCACGTGTATTGCAAGCACGTGTATTGCAAGCACGTGTATTGCAAGCACGTGTATTGCAAGCACGTGTATTGCAAGCACGTGTATTGCAAGCACGTGTATTGCAAGCACGTGTATTGCAAGCACGTGTATTGCAAGCACGTGTATTGCAAGCACGTGTATTGCAAGCACGTGTATTGCAAGCACGTGTATTGCAAGCACGTGTATTGCAAGCACGTGTATTGCAAGCACGTGTATTGCAAGCATGCCCCCCATTCACCTCATGGCCCCCATACACCCCATGCCCCCATACACCCCATGCCCCCATACACCCCATGCCCCCATACACCCCATACATCCCATAGACCCCATGCCCCCATACACCCATTGGCCCCATACACCCCATGCCCCCATACACCCATTGGCCCCATACACCCATTGGCCCCATACACCCCATGGCCCCATCCCCCCTCCCACCTGCAGAATGAGTCGGTGTCGCCTCTTCCTCTCCCCCCCTCCGCTCTCCGCTCCCCCTGTCCCCCCTCCCCCCGCTGCCCCTCCCCCTGCCCCCGCCCCTCTCCCCTTGGGGTGTGAGCGCGCCACCTTGAGCACTTGAGCGCCTGCAATGGGGGGGAAGGGGAGGGGCGGGGGGGAAGTGGTGAAGAGGGACACCACACGACGAAGTACCAGCCTAGACGTTTCTCACCTTCTCTCTCCTTCCTCTCTCCTTCCTCTCTCCCTCCTCTCTCCTTCCTCTCTCTTTCCTCTCTCCTTCCTCTCTCCTTCCTCTCTCCTTCCTCTCCACTGCATGCGGTTGTTCCAGACTAAATTGGTCTGTCCACGCTTTTCCTGAATCCCACCTGAAGAAGCACCTGGGACTCGCCTGAAGAAGCACCTGACAGCTTCAGCCTCAGCTTGCGCAGCCCAGCCTCCTGAGCCTCCCCACCTGCCTCCTCCCCTCCCTTACTGCCCAGCCCATCCCCTGTCTTAGCCCCCAACCCATCCCCCTTAACAACCGACCCCTCCCCTCCCCCCACCCCGCCCCCCTCGCCGCCCTGACCCCCTTCCCCGCCACCTGCGCCCCCCTGCGCACCCTCCGCCGCGCCCAACCCCTCCCTAAGCCCCCGGGCGCCCGCCCTCTCGCGGCGTCTGTCGCTGCGCTCGCCCTTGCCGCCCGTCAGCGCCTTGAGCGACTCCAGCCGCGCGCTCCGCCTCTCCCTCTCGCGCTCCCGCTCCTCCCGCTCCCTCTCCTCCCTTTCCCTTTCCTCCCTCTCCCGCTCCTCCCGCTCGCGGTCTTTCTCTCTGCCCCTCTCCTTATCCCTGTGTCGGTCCTTGCTCTTCCCTTTCTCCCTGTCTCGCTCTCGCTCCCTCTCCCTGTGCCTCTCTCCGTCCCGCTCCTTCTCCCCCTCCTTCTCACGTTCCCTCTCTTTGCGGCCCCTATCTCTATCTCTATCCTTATCCCTATCCTTGTCCCTGTCCCTATCCCTATGCCGATCCCTGTCTTTCTCCCGATCTCTATCCCTATCCCTATCCCTATCTCTCTCTCTATCCCTGTCTCTGTCTCTGTCTCTATCTCTGTCCTTTCCTCTCTCCCTACGATCATCCTTCTCCCCGTCATGCTCCCGATCCTTCCTTCTCTCCCGGTCGCTTCCGGACCTCTCTCTCTCCTTCGGCCCGAACCTGTCTCCATCCTTTTCCGCCCCTCTGCCCCACTCCCTATCCCGCTCCTTCCCCTCATCCCGCCTCCGCTTTCCCTCGCTCCGCCCTTCGCGCCCTTTCCCGTGCTCCTCCCTCCCCCTATCGCGCTCATCGCCGCTCGATCCGCTTCCCGCGGAGTGCGCGGGGGACTGATGGTGCTGGTGATGGTGGTGGTGGTGGCGGTGGTGGTGCCGGTCGTGCCCGTGCCGCGATCGTCGCTCGTCTCCGCGCGCCCGCCGCGCTGAATCGCGGCCCTCATCCGACTCCTCCATCCCCGCTACTACAAGCTACCGATACAGACAACGCCGAAAACCGAAAGCTCTCCTGCCAGCTATCGCTAAGACGGTAACGTATTTCCAGTAAGATCACATTCTGGGGTTTATTTGAAACTAATGGTGTTGAGGAAGAATCGACTTTAGAGTGGAATGATAAAATCTTCGTGCGTTTAGAATCAGCTCATGAGACATTCTTTAGCGCGGATTATCTGGCCAAATGCCATATTTTTGGCGAAGGTTGAGAGAGTGGTTGCTGTAACCGAGATCCAGTTTTGGCAATAACGATTGGCCAATCTAGACGGCCAAATCAAAACGGCAAATCCTTCACGACTTCCTCGTGCAGTAACCGACGTAACCAGCGATACTCTCCCGACCCCGAACGAAACCGCCGCTGACGTTGACATCGGGCATTTCTTTTGTCGCTGGTGGGTGGTAGGTGGCTACCACATTTGCGCACTGTAGTTAGTGAACTGTACAGTACGCTCTGTTACACGTATTTCAGTTCAGTCAGTGTTTCCCTGTTTCCCAAATCCCGATGCCCGAACCGCAGCCATAGATTTTGCCTGGGCGGAGGTATACAGAGCGGAGCCAACCCGGCCCAAGTTTTCCTTCCCTCCCCTCCCCTTTTCAAGCGCACCCCACCCACCACACCTGTCTGCTCAACCAGAAGCACATCCGTAATTTCCGAATTGTTATCTCAACATCCAAGTTCCAGGTTCCGGCTTATTATCGCCATTCTCTTGAAAAATTCACCTTCTTTGTTCCCAGTTAGCGATTCGGTTTTCACCGATACGAGATCCTTCGATTTTCCTCCTCGTTGCCTTACCCTCGACTTCCCCTCCCCGTGAACTGCGCCTCCTCGCGCACTGCGCCTCCGCGCGCGCATGACGATGCCATTCTCATCCCTCCGCCTCCCCCTCTTCCCCCTCCTCCTCGTCCTCCTGCTTCATGCCGCCCTCCTCTCCCACCACCTCGCGTCGGGCGCTATCGCCAGAGACGGCCATCGCACAATAATCGGCGACGCAATCGTCGCGGAAAGTTCGCACAGGCGACGGTTAGAGGGCCCGCTGGTGTCGCACGGTCCGTTCCACCGGCGACTTTGGAACCCGTTCGGCGGGTCCAAGAAGCCCAAGAAGCCGCCGCCTAAGAGCGGCGGCGCGGGCAAGCAGTCGGGTGAGCCACTGCGCCCTGCGCTAGCTCACGTGCGCCGCGCCTTTCGACCCTTTCGCAGCATGTTGGGCAGGGAGCGGGACTCTCTCCTTTTCCGCCGCTTCCCATTTTCCGCTCATCCCGCTTTTCTCATTCCCCTCCGCTCATTCCCCTCCGCGCATTCCCTTACGCTCTTCCCTTTCCGCTCGCCGCTCCCCTTCGGCCCGTCCGTCCGCGCTCGCCGCCACAGCCGCCGTGGCGTGCGAGGGCGTGCAGTGCCCGCAAGGAGCGGCGTGCGTCGCGGACAGCAAAGGCTTCCCCTTCTGCAAGTGCGACGGGACCCTCGCGCTGATCAACGGCTCGTGTGTGCCAGGTGAGATCAACGGCTCATGCTCCCAATGCTGCTTCCCCAAACCCCCCATTCTTCTCAACAACCACCTCTCGCTCGTCCCTCCAACCCTGCCGCCTCTCCTCCCCATCTCCCGCATTCAGCTTACTCCCCTCCCCCTCGCCATTCCCCTTCCCCCCCTTCCCCCGCCACGCCCCCGGCCAGCCGTGGACGGGCAGGTGGTGGCGACGAGCGTGCTGCTATTCTCCTCCGCCAATTTCTCCCCTGCACCGCCCGCCGTGCTGCGCGGTGCCATCCCGAACCGCACGTGCGTGAACCTGCCCGCGTCGCACGCGGGCGCCATCGGGTCGCTGCGCATCCTGTGGAGCGTGAAGGACGGCAGCAGCGGCGCGAGCCGCGTGGTGTGCGGGAAGTTGTTTTTCTGGGACCAGCCGGATTGCTGCTGCTCAGGGTCAGGGTGGGAGGTGCCAGGCGGGTGGAAGGCCGCTAGTGCTGCCAAAACCAACTACTCGCCCACCAGCATTCAGTGAGTCTGCCGCATTCAGTGAGTCAGCTAGATTCCATCTGTTCCGCCTCCGCACTACACTGTCCTATTGCCCTGTTCTCCAATTCTCCCCATTCCCGCACCATAACCTGCTCTCCTCCTCTCCTCCTCCTTTCCTCCTCTCGCCCTGCTCTCCTTCGCCCACGTCACGTCCCTCTCTCTCGCCCCATCAGAGCAACGGGTGGGGTGGTGGCGGGAGCCAAGTCCATGTCGTGTCAGGCCTTTGCCGACCTGGCTGCTGCTGTCCCAATGACAACCCTCTTAAAACCTTCGAACGTCCTTCCCTCCCCCCTACCGTCCCATCCCATCTACTCCCTCTCCCTCGCCCCATCAGAGCAACGGGCGGGGTGGTGGCGGGAGCCAAGTCCATGTCGTGCCAGGCCTTTGCCGACCCCGCTACTACCACAGACCCCGGCACAGGCGTGCCCACTGGCAACACTGGCAGCACCGGAAGCACTGGTAGCACGGGCGGCAGCACGGGCGGTGGCAGCGGGGCGTGTAAGGAGACGGTGTGTCCGGCCAACTCCGTGTGCGTGGCCCAGGGCACTGGCGCCACGTGTAACTGCGTGGTTGGCTACGCCAAGGTCAACGGGCAGTGCGAGGGTGAGCAGCAGCATTGGGGAGTGGAGTGACTGGCAATGGTTGAGTTGGGTGGGGCATGGTGTGGATGCTGATAGTAGCGCCCTTCCCTCCCTCACCTGCTCCCCCACCTCCCCTTGGCCCTCCCTCCCTCCCATGCCACCAGCTATGGACATTTGCTCAATCGTCTCCTGCCCCGCCAACTGCACCTGCTCCTCTTCTGCTGGCATTGCCAAGTGCTCCTGCCCAGGTGATTGCAACAGAGCCAGGTGCCCCGGCTCAGGTGATTATGGTTCATTCAAATGTTTAAAAGCGCTAATTCCCCACGGGTGCATACGTGTGACCAGGTGACTAGTGCTGCCGCTTTTTTTCCTGTCTCACCAGTCCTCCTCCCCCGTTCCTCACACCCCTTTCCATATCCCACCCGTCACCCATCACCCATCACCCATCACCCATCACCCATCACCCATCACCCATCACCCACTCCCCTCTTCCCCTCCGCTCTTCAGGCCAATGCTACGGTGTCAAATGAGTTGTGTTTTGAGTCCACTTAAGACACTTTCCATGTCCCACCCATTACCCACCTCCCCCCACCTCTTCCCCTCTGCTCTCCAGACCGGTGCTACGGTGTCAAGTGTCCCGATGTATCCACGTGTGTGGTGCAAAGCGGTACGCCGGTGTGCAAGTGCCCCGCGCCCTACACGCGGCTCATTGACAACAAGTGCTCCTCTGCCGCTCTCCCCAACTCCGACTACCTCGATGTTCACAACAACGCCCGCGCTGCCGTGGGGGCCGTGCCGCTCGTGTGGGACGACACATGTGAGTGTGGGGTGTTGCGAGTGAGTGGGAGGGAGGGAGAGGAGGAGAGCGGGGCATGAGAGAATGCATCATGATTGCGCTCCCTCGCGCCCCACTGCAATCATTTCAACTCATACCCCCTCCACTGCCCGTGTGCATTCCCTTTCCGCTCAAGCCTCTCCTCCCCTCTCGTCCCCCTACTGTTCTCTGCTCCCCCCAGTGGCGTCGCACGCGCTAGCGTGGGTGACAGCGCTGACCAACAGCACGTACAACTGCGGGCTCACGCACGGCGGCAACAGCGGCGAGGGGCAGAACCTCTCAGGCGCCAGCCCGTCCGGCTGGGCCTCTAATGCCGCAGCAGCGAGCTGGTGGGTGAACGAGGGGCAGTGGTACACGGCAGCTGTGTTCCCTGACGGCTGTGAGGGCGGCAACTGGGCCAAGTGCGGGCACTACACGCAGGTGGTGTGGAATAACTCGAAGAAGCTGGGCTGCGCCAAGGCGTCGTGCGGCACGAGTGCGGACGTGTGGGCGTGCCACTACTACCCGCCTGGGAACTACGGCGGCCAGCGGCCCTACGGTGAGTGCTACACTATGCGGTGCTGTGCTGTGCTGTGCTGTGTGGTGCTTTGCGGTGTGGTGCGGTGCTGTACTCATGGCCCATGGTCGCCTCTTTCTCATCGGTCCCCTTTCTCCGCTTCCCCTCTCCTTTGCCACCCCCGGCAGTGCAAGACCCATGCTTCCGGGTGCAGTGCCCCTCCACCTCCACGTGCTCAGCGGTCGATGGCAAGCCCATGTGCGCCTGTGCTGCCGGCCAGGTGCTCGTCAACAATGCCCAGTGCTTACCAGGTGCCGCCCCCACCCGCCCCCACACCCTCCCCCACCCCGCACACCCTCCCTCCCACCACGTGTCACCATGATCACTCCATCACGTCGCTCATGCACCTCCCATGTCCTCATCATGTCCCTTGCCACATCTCCATCCCCCATGACTCCTCACCACCTACCCCTATGCTCTCCCAACCGCCCTCACACCCCCATGTCCCTGTGCCCCGCCTCTCTCTCCCCCGCTTCGCCATCTCCCAGACCCCTGCAAGGGAGTGACCTGTCCAGCAGGCGACCTGGTGTGTGACGGCAGCACGGGCACGGCGCAGTGCGTGTGTCCCAAGGGGCTGCTGCTCGTTGCCCCCAACACGTGCCTGGGTGAGTTGCCCCCAACACGTGCCTGTGTGAGTGTACTGTGCTCCTAATACGTGCCTGTGTGAGTGTACTGTGCTCCTAACACGTGCCTGTGTGAGTGTACTGTGCTCCTAACACGTGCCTGTGTGAGTGTACTGTGCTCCTAACACGTGCCTGTGTGAGTGTACTGTGTCTCGATGCTGCCAGTTCCTCTCCTCGCCTGCACCTCACCCTCTCTCGCCCACTCGCTGCTTCTGCAGGCGCCTGTTTCTTGGTGCCTTGCCACCTTCACCATCCACACCCCTCCTCACCCCTCATCACACCCCTTAACCACTCCTCTCCCTTCGTCAGCCCTATGCAGCGCCAACATGTGTGGGAGTGGAATGCCCCTCCACGTCTCGCTGCAAGGCCACCAGCGGCGGCATCCCCTTCTGTGCCTGCCCCGCCTCCTACTCACTCGTCAACGGCACCTGCATTCAAGGTAATCGTTACAAGCACATTCACTATAGCTTCTCACCACCAGCGCCTGCACTGTCCCATCACAATCTAGCACTGTAAGCCATGCCACGATCCTCCCACGGAACGACTCTGTCGAAAAGCCCTTAAGCTGTCCTTCTCACTCCTTTCCTCCCTCCGCCCCTCCCCTCCGCCCCTCCCTCCGCCCCTCCCCTCCGCCCCTCCCTTCCGCCCACAGCCGCCCCCGCCACAGTGACAACAAGCGTGGTGCTCTACAACTCCCCCTCCTTCACCAACTCACCCGCCTCCCTCGCGCCCGCCGTGCTCCGAGCCGCCACGCCCGGCGCCTCGGG